CAGCAAAGGTATAGGTTTCCCTTCGACATTAAGTCTAGTCGAGTCCTACTCTGGGGGGTGGTGCTCATCTCCATTTCTAAGCTGAAGAGCCAGCATTGTCTGTAGACACCTCCAAGGTCAGGTGGTTGGCATGACTGCATTGAGGGCCATTATCTTCCCACCAGAGAGGTACCTATTGATCTACTCACATTTGGATGTTTTGAAACTGCTAGGTTGGCAGAAGCTGGGGCTAACGACGGAAGCTCACTCCATTCTGCAGATTCAAATCACCAACCTTTTAGTCAGCAAGATCCACAGCTCAGCATTTTAACCCGTTGCACCACCACGACTCCTTACAATACTACGAATGTAACATAAAATAAAGACATGTAGTGAATGGACATCTTAAAGCCATCTTCACATGTCACTGAACCTGGACATCCTTTACATCTGGGAGCCTTTTGTGGGAATTACACTTCAGGGAGAACAAAATTAGGGAGAACAAAATTAAAAAGGAAAGAAATTCTGTGAGCCAGTGTTAGAGAAAACCACGCACAAAAGTTTTGCTTGCAATTTTATTTGCTGCTATTCAAGCAGCCAGCCTATTTCTTTGGAGTGTAAACTGTATTCTGCAAAGGTCAGAGGAGAATTAAAGGTTGTAAATATAGTTTTAATCTCTTTCTCGTGGCTCCTGAACTTCACAAGTATCTGATGGTCTACCATGACATTTGTGGTGTTAATGCAATCACAATAGCATCATCCTGTGGAATTAATTCAGATCTACAATTTGAAAAAGGTCAGATTTAAGTCAAGCCCATCTGCATCTTCATAAAATCTTAACTGCAGGTTCCATTTCATAACAAGAAAGTGACAGGGCTGTCATTTTAATAGAAAAATATGCTAGTTTGCAAGGTGGAGTTAAATCATTTTGATCTGAGCAAATGGCACGCAGGTGCTAACATATTCCTCAATTTCCTTAGAAGTAAAATCTGATAAGAGACTCAAGGCAAGAAATATACACCTTTGGTGCCAAAACACGCAAGCTGTGTTATGAATGCCTCTTTTTAAAGAAAGAATGAAAGCAAAAATAGAAGATTAATACAGAGCACAACATAGAATTCAACATACCAGATGCAGAGTGAAGAAACCACCATTGAAATGGCTTATTTTAAACTGAGAATTTAAAGATGTCCTTTTGCTATAAACTTCGGCAAAAGTACCACTTAAAATAATAATGAGAATAACAAACTATCAAGTATAATACACAAGCCTGGGAAATACACACATAGAGACTGTTTACAATGGTGTAACAAACATAATATTCATGTTAGAATGTTTTCAGAACAGTTAGTTGGACCTTCCATAAGTTGTGTGTACAAACTTCAACACATTCAGTTGTTTTAAACTGAAGCAACTAACAATCAGCCCTTGATATCCAGTGGGATTTGGTTCCAGGACCTCCTAGGTAAAGGTGGTTCCCTTGACATTGAGTAACCAGACAAAAATTCCCCAAGTACAATCCTCTATCAGTGGACAGCAGAATGTTAAATGGTCCCAAAGAGCTCTTTCATTACACTTCACCAGCTATCCGTAACACTTGTTTTTTAACCATGCTGCAATCCAGCCAGACCATTCAATAGCAGCAGAGGCCTTCCTGCTCTTCAGGGAGAAAGCTTCAGCTGCAACTAAGGTCTACACTGCCATATAATCCAGATTTTCAAAGCAGATAATCCACATTATTTGCTTTGAACTGGATTATCTGAGTCTACACTGTCATATATTCTGGTTCAAAGATGATAATCTGGAATTTATATGGCAGTGTAAATGGGGCCTGAATATCCATTACAAGAACTTTTAGTATCTGTTGGAATTTCCTTCAAGAACACACACACATCTTAGGCCCCTTCCACACAGCTGTATAAAATCCACATTGAACTAGATTATATGGCAGTGTGGACTCAAATAATACAGTTCACAGCAGATATTGTGGATTACCTACCTTGATATTCTGGGTTATACAGCTGTGTGGAAGGGCCCATAGATACCAAAATCCATGGATGTTCAAGTCCCATTATATACAATGGTGTAGTAATATCCCTTATATAAATGGGATTTTTTGGATTTTTAAAATTATTGTCAAGCAGTGGATGTTTGAATCTGTAGATATGGAGAGTTGACTTTATGCACTACTAATGACAGTGGATTAAAAAAAGTTCATAATAGATTGCTACTGTAAACTGCTCTAAATCACCCAAACAAGATGGAATATCAATGTTCTTTCACATAATGTGGCAAGAGAACGGAATAACTAAGGCTCCTTCTACACTGCCATATAATCCACTTTATCTGCTTTTAACTGGATTATCTGAGTCTACACTGCCATACACTCCAGGAAATAAAGCCCGACTGCTCATTGGAGGGAAGGATATTAGAGGCAAAGATGAAGTACTTTGGCCACATCATGAGAAGAAAGGAAAGCCTAGAGAAGACAATTATGCTGGGGAAAATGGAAGGAAAAAGGAAGAGGGGCCAACCAAGGGCAAGATGGATGGCATCCTTGAAGTGACTGGCTTGACCTTGAAGGAGCTGGGGGTGGTGACAGCCGACAGAGCTGGTCCATGAGGTCACAGAGTCGGAAATGACTGAACGAATGAACAACAACATTGCCATAAAATCTAGTTCAAAGCAAATAATCTGGGTTTTATATGGCAGTGTATAAGGGGCCTAAGAAAAAGTAACTGTGGAAAACAAAGAATATAGCAAACTCAGGGAAGAAATCAACTCTGTGTCTCTCTCTAGAGGGGGGGCATTGATACATTTACCACCAACTCACAGAAGTCAAGACATTAAAATCAGGCAGGTAAGTAAAAAGGAATTTATTGAAGTCAAACTTAAGTACTGTCAACACATAATTATATTGTATCTTTCCCTATGACATGAAACAGGAAAAACTCACACAGCAAGTGCACCTTTGACATGAATAAAATTCAACATTTGCCATACATTAAGAGGTAAAATTATTTTCATATTTCTGAACACTTGCTGATTTTATGCCTTCTCTGGTTTTTTAAAAAGCAATTGAAGTTTGAAAATCCATTCTGATTAAAGTTGAATAGGCAGAACTACAAAATAATAACTTTATTTGATATCCTAATCAATTTCTTCACTTATAAATAGTTTTCTCCACTAGGAAGAGCACAATCTGATGCTTGTTTTCCCCATAAATATCATTTCCAACTGTCATTACACCATGTTTTCTTCCCCGCTTCAGCTAGTAGCAATCTTTTCCCAAAGCTTTTTTGAGAAATATACTCACCATAGATGCAGAAAAAAGAAGCTATGTACTACAGCCTTTTAAAAAAAATAATTCATTCAGCCAAGCCTGTGCACGCTGTGCTTTTAAAGCTTGTAGGTGATGAGACACAGCTAAGGTGGCATAGTAGTTTCAGGATTGAACTAGGGCCTTCCACACAGCTGAATAAAATCCCACACTATCTGCTTTGTATTGGAATATATGGCAATGTGGACTCAGATAACCAAGGTCAAAGCAGATATTGTGGGATTTTCAGCCTTGATATTCTGGGTTATATGGCAAAGGAAGGGTAAAACAACCCCCCTCTGGCTAAATCTTGCCAAGAAAACCTTACGATAGGTTTGTGTTAGGGTCGTCGTAAATCAGAAACAACTTGCACTCCCATAACATCAATGTGATGAGTACAAAGGACAGTATGTGTCCCCTTCAACTGATTGTATCGTGCTTTCAAACAGCAGCATTAAATATACTCCAGTTTTCAATCCATTTGCATAGATGCACAATGTAATGTCACATCCATAGCAATATGAACAGGCAGATGATATAATAGGCAGGCACAGGTCATCATAAAGGTATTTGCTAGTTGAACAAGTAGTAAAGAAAAATTATCACATATTTGTACAGGAAGTCAAGTTACAAACATCCAACTCACAGACAACTCATAGTTAAGAACAGGGTGAGACAACAGGAAGTGAGAGAAATCTACCCCTCGGAAAGAAAATTCGCTCCTGAAAGAGTTATCATGGGGAAAAGGTGTCTCCACTGAAAATTTATCACCAATTCTTGTTTCAAGAAGAAACATTTTTAAAAATCCAATGATCACAGGGACAGAAAGTGAGGAAAACTTACATACTTATATACAAATTAAACTTACGAACAAACCTATAGAACCTTTTTTGTCCATAACATGGGGACTGTCTGTATTTGGAGTAGTAAGCTTAGTACCACTGGATAGTGAGATTCTTGTAAACAAAAAAAGCCCTTCAAAACTGAACTAAACATCTTTGAAAAACATTTGATTTTGAATTTTTTTCCCCATTGTATAAGCAGCTTCCTATACCAATATGCAAGATATTGATTACTTTCAAAGGGCAATTACAACATTTCAGCATAAGTCCATAGTTCAACATTTGAAAGCTCTTTTTTCCAAAAACATGCATAGAAAGTAGTCACTTTATTGGGGAATCTTTAATCCATCGGTTTATAGCAAAATTGGACATTCTGCAATCTCTCCTGGTTAGTGTATGTCAGCATGCCTGAAGTCCTAAATAATGCACAGTGTTAAAGTGAAATTCCTAAGACACAGATTAGTGTACCGATACGATAATTATTTTCTGTATTACTCCAACATACATTTTCCCTCTTATAAACGTCTCTAAAATGGGGTGTGTCTTAGAATTGTGGGTGCTTTTTTTTTCTGTTGACGGTATTGGAATCACTGTGCGTCACATATGATGGCACTTCAGAATTAAAAAATGGCAATTTGCTTACAGTGAGAAATGTTTTTAAAGTCAGCAGAGATGATAGAGGAGATCCACTAATAATTTACTTCAACAAATTCCACCTTAATTTAAACTATATGCAAACAGACGAACTAAAGTCAGATGAAGTCTGATTGCTTCTATGTCAATCCACTGAGCAATAACAGGCATTTCTGTGTAAAGTGCTGTTACAAGTAATCTGGGAGAAAATGTAAAGCAGGATCGAATTCTTGGCTGCTGCTGACAGAAAATGAGAATAAAATGAAAGCAAGAGGGGGATCAACACATCTAACAGTACAGAGCCATCATACTTGTAGCCTTCAGATCTTTGGGCCTCCAGCTCCCAGAAGTCCTAGCCAACTTGTCCAATGGTGAGGAATTCTGAGAGCTGGAATCCAAAACACATGGTGGCACACCACTGTCTGGACCACAAGACTACATGCTTCAGAGAACAAGTAAAACACCGGGACACGGTGTTCTAAGGGCTGCAGAACAGGAAGGAAATTTCATCAGCCAGGCACTGCAATACTAGCACCTTATTGGACTTAGGCTTCAGTATATAAATTAGTCCAAAACACATTTAACCTTGTTGATTTAAACTATATTTATGTTGTTGCTTTTGCCTATTTTTGCTAGAAAGTATTATTTTAAATAATACTACATTCTTCTCTCTCAAATAAATTACTGTAATTCAATATGAAGCTCTTACAGTAAAGGCATACATAAGATTCCCCTTCTTTAATAACAGATCTCAACTATCTCTGTTTCCAAGCAGTGATGCAACTTGAGTCACTAGCTTGAGTGCCTTCTGTGCATCCTTTATTGAACCATCGGTTTTCCATGACTTTTATAGTTTCAGTAGAACACCACCAAAAGCAGACAGCAAATGTACTGTATTTTGTTTTACCAAATCCCTGCTTAAAGAAATGTAGTTTGCCCCGCAATGGCAAGCACAGTATTAATAAAAAGGTTGTCACCATAAACTTTATTAAAGTCTAAGGTCAGTGCAACACCACTCTGAAATAAAATAGTCCTAAATGTTGTTCATACTAGACAAAAGTAGTCATGAGGTCCAGCGCCACCAGGCCACCTTCATTCTGTCCCACACAGCAGTCAGGGAATCAAAAGCAGGGCGCACATCCAAAATGGTGAACTGATAGTTCTTGTCTACTTCTCCTCCATCATAATAATCAATGACATATCGGACTTCAGTTCCACAGCGGTTAACAATCCAATCATGTCTATCAAAAGGCAGCTCATACCTAGAAAGAAGCACATATTTTAATGGTGTTGAAACTAAAACAAACAGCTCAGATGTACAGAATCATTACTATGACACAGACCTGGAAAGTATCTTGGGGGCTACCAAAATCTCCTTAGTCAACAAGGGCCACCAGCTGTAACTATTATGCAATTCTACAGATTCTGTTCCAAAACCATTTCCAATCCCTAGGATATCAAACATTCAATTTAAGGTAAAGGTATACATCTCAACATATCTCAGTCACGACCCAGGTTACTTACAGGATTGCCTTCTCTCTTACATTTTAGCTGTATATTGTTATATGTATTTTAATAGTCTTGTGATTTAATCCTGTTGTATCTAACCTCGAGCTGCTGTCGTCGTCGTCATCATCATCATCATCATCTCCACTGAATACAAAGATTGAATGCAAAGATTCTAACTCTTAAGATAATATTTTAATCTATTTTCTGCAACATACCCCATCCAGGATCGTATTCTGGCTCTTGGTGAATACTCCTTAGCTTTACCTCCAAAGCGAACAAGTGAAGGTCCACATGGGCACTCCCTGAAAAGTTGTTCCAGAAAAACACAATCACCCATCTAGGCAAAACTAGCACATTAAAAAGCACATGCAGAACAATCCTGTGCCTGTCTCTTTAGAAGATCCATTTGGGTACAGAAAGTGAAACAATACTGGACTGCATCTTTAACATATTTAAATTGTGATGAATACCCAATCCATTATGTAGCCAGTGATACTCTTCTTGACCTCAATGTCACAGCAATAAAACGGGACAATTAAATAACACACCCAAATATTATGAACCTAAATAGTTGTTGAGGGTCAGTACAGCATAGTGACTTGAGTGTTGGACTAAAACACTCTGAGATACCATGTTGAAATCCCTACTTGGCCACAGAAACTCACTGGGTGACCTTGGGCAAGTATTATCCCCAGAGAAAGGCAATCTTGACAAGAAAATCTTATGATAGATTTGCTTCAGGATTACATAAATTGAAAATAATCTGAAAACACATGGGAACAACAAGAACAACATCATCAACAACGACATAGTTAGAATGATTTTTATTATAAATACTGTAATCATAACTGTAAAGCAGTTCTGCCATAAAAGATTAATCCTATCTAACTATACTTTTATTCTAACTGGAGAAAACAAGTTAAGACCAACTTATATCCCAGGATCTGATCCCAGGTTTTCTGTTTATCCCAGGTTATCTGGCAGTGGGGACTGATGCAATCCAGTTTCATGCAGAAAACCTGGGATCAGATCATGAGATTTAGGGTCGGTCTGAAAGGGCTCATTGTGGCAGGTGGTTAGAAGGAGAAAATATTTGTTCTCAGAAAGTAGTGTGAGTCAAAGGATGTATCTCATGTCTATTCTTACTCCTCAGCAATTTCTAGAATAAGTGGCAGGTATTAACTAAGGGCCCTTCCACACAGCCAAATTACACAGAGTATCAAGGCGGAAAATCCCACAATATCTGCTTTGAACTGGGTTATCTGGGTCCACACTGCCATATATTCCAGTTCAAAACAGATAATGTGGGATTTTATTCAGCTGTGTGGAAGAGGCCAAAGCAATTGGAACACAAATACTTCTGAGAAGCAGGTCATGCATAAAACTAAGCTTTCTGCATATCATGGAATCTTCCTCACCCCACCAAGGATCTCATAATTAATATTATTTATTTTATTTACCTTATTTATAACCCGCCTTTTCTCTACCCCAAGGGGGGCTCAAGGCGGTTTACAAATGGTACCTACATAGTGCCTCAAAACATACAAAATTCACTTAAAATGAATTTGATTAAAAATTACTAGCACAATAACTTGATTAAAATACATTCAACGTTACAACACGCCATCCAGGGAAATAGGTTTTGAGCACCTCAGTTTACAAGTTATAACTACTGATTAATTAGTTGTTGTTGTTGTTGTTGTGTGCCTTCAAATAGTTTCAGACTTTGGGCAACTCTAAGGTGAACCTATAACAGAGTTTTCTGGTCAAGATTTCTTGTCAAATCCTTCAAATAGAATTTGCCTTTGTCTTCTTCAGAGGCTGAGAGGGTGCAACTTCTTAAAGACACCCAGTGGGTTGAGCGCTATAGTTCGAGATTAAAACAACTATATCCTTCTTTCTGAATTCCTTCCCTCTCTTTTTTCTACTTTTGTCTTTCTTTCTTTCTTGCTGTCTTTTCTTCCTTCCTTCTTTTTCCCACTTACCTTTCTTCATTTCCCCCCTTTCTCCTTTCTTTATTAAATTCTTCATCCCATTCTTCTTTTTCCTACGCCTATTTATTTATTTCTTTCCCCTTTCTCCCTGCCTTCCTATATTCCTCCCTGTTCCCTTTCTTTCTCCTTTCTTCCCTCCTTCCTTCCCAGGGATGGGCAGTGAGGAAGGCGGCAGGGGTGTGCATGCAGCATGTGTGTGCATGCAGTGGTGGCATGTGCGGGTGGATGCAGGCATACAATGGTGGTGGCTGAGAGCATGCAACGGTAACAGTGGGTGAATGCAGGTGACAGCAATGACTGAGTGCAGCGGCAGCTGTGTGTGGTAGTGATGGGCATGTAAGGGGAAGCCTCAAGCAAGCAGCATTCAGCAGACTGCACCAATGGTTTGTGCGAGCTGCATGCGGACTGTGGGCTGTATGTTTGTTTATTTATTTACGACATTTCTACCCCGCCTTTCTCACTCCGGAGGGGACTATGTTGTGCAAGCTTGTTCTAGAATAAAGTTGGAACTGTCTGACCCTCATTTTGTATACAGACCCCAGGGCCCCAAAACAAAATAAATCCAGGATATCAAACTCAGAAGTCGCACCAAGGTCAATTTTGTGACCTATAATATATGTACCCCACACCCAAAAAGCTATTCATCTCTGTTCTAAACTTACAGGAGAAATGACCAACATACTTCCAAGAGTAAGGCTAAATAAGACTAGTGAAATTATCTAGGCAATATTCCATCAGTTTCTCATTCCTGTTCTTCTTTTGGAAAGTGCAAAAACCCCTGAAATTATTATTGTAAGAAAATCAAAATTCACCTGCACATTATTTGATAACAAAATTTCATAACAGTGTGGAGACACATTTTAATACTGTAGGTCTACTTACCGAGCATGAAGTGCTTCCCATTTTAAAATTTCCTTCCAAGCCTGCTCATTATTCTGATTATGAATCTTAATTATATTGGTCATATCTTCAGGCTTTATGTCATCCTTTTTCCATCTCCATCTAAAGAAAGCAGTATTGAAGGTGTTAGTAAGCATCAGAGACAAACTGCTTTGCATCGTTCCAAGCTTTTGTTTTAATTAGAAAAGTGACCTGAAGGAATCTTATAAAATAAAATGAAGTCCATCGTCTCCACATTCTCCACCCTTTGCATAACCAAATTATAAGTAAAACTTATATTTACCAAAGCTGAAATATGTTTCCGAGTGTCTATTATTGTAACACCAAAAAAACTAATAGGTAAGCTTTTGTAGTTTTTCTTTCTTTAGCAAAATTATAGATTGATCCTGACTAAATTTGTCTCGCTGATTTTAATAACTGTACTCTAAATATGACTAAATCTGATTCCTACACTATGTATTTCCAAAACAGGTAATTGCCTTTTTAAAAAAATCCAAACTATTTTTCTAGCCTTAAAGACCAAATGTATCATATTTTTATTTAGATACAATAAGCTGTTTTTCAAAAAATGGCTTCCATATGACACACCAAGTTTAAAAAATCTAAAATTACAAAAGCATGTTGTATAAAAATAAGCAAAATTTGAAAATGTATAGCCACATTACAACAATAAATCAAAAAAATTGAAAACCAAAAGGCCCAATTAAATATATGATCCTTTTGAGTATGATATTAAGCTCTAGCGAGGAGTCATACTATTTTCCAAGGTGACATAGTTTCACATTCTAAGAGATGTTTTGTTAAATTTCAAGTCCCACCAGTTACAGCCAACACAGAAAATAATGGCAGATTATGGGAATTTCAGACCAACAGCATCTGGTTGCCACATCCATAATTTGGATATTTTGGCTGAGAAGCCTGTCTGTATCACCACTAACAACCCCTGACAACAGCAGGACATGACATAAGAACTCTCTATTATCTCAACAGATAGATCTACACAGCACAATTATGTCTTATCTTCATAAAAGATATCGTTTGCAAAGTCTAACTAACGGGCCTATTTAGTACAACTTGAAGGCTACTTTTGCACAATCAACCATCAATTGGTTAGAAAAACTTAATTATAAACTTGTCTAGATTGCTGGGCATATGCCTAGTAATTTTATTAAAATCTTGGCAAGCTTAATCCTTTTAGGAAGTAATGACATCTGATATACAGCCAACATCTATCCAAGTTTTTCTAACGTTTAAGTACCACTGTGTTCCGTGTGGTTAATTCATGCATAGCTGTGCACGGGAACACAATCTTAGCAATTTATACCGTTCACACATTCATCATTTGACAATGGCAACAAGTAAAGACTTGCATGAATTAGTGAGCCATTAGAGACACAGTTTTCCTATCACCTAAAACTTGCTACCTTCCCTTAAGAAGTTGATAGTCTATATTTTGACTAGGAGTTGGTAAGTGAAGAAAAAAGAGCCTAGAGCAGCAGTGCAGAGTAGATAATGTAAGAGACATGGCTAAGAAATGCACATATTTAGATTCCTGTGAATCAACCCCTACTTCCAGAAAACAAGGAAACACCCCTTTCATGCTTCAGAACTTTCTTTACTTCTATCAGTATCAGTAATAACTTCATTTGCAATCCACATACCCTTTTTTAAGCATTGCATTCCAAAACATCTGCTCTGAAGGATACACCCATTTTTGTTCAGAAGCAGCTCTAGGAATGGAAGACTCTTCTCTCACTGTCGATAATGGAAATGGCTGATCAGGCGATGGAACCTGATTAGGAGGTGGCATCTAAGCAAAGTAAGGAGAACAAGACATTAAAGCAGTGAACAATCTGCTGGGAAGAACAACATATCCAATTCCATATACACTATATTCAAAGTTACTTTCTGAAAGGTTTTAACTATATTTCGTCTAAAGTAGTTCGAGGTCTCAAAGAATTTGTCACTTGTTATTCAAGTCAGGTTTCACTTCGTAATCATGAGTAAGATCAGTAAGACCAATTTGTATTTGCAGGCACTTCATTTGTGTTGCTACCAACATAGACTATTTCCTTTATTTCCTAGCATACTGCTTTCTGAGAATCAGAGACCTGTCTTCATTCGAATACACCTTTCATGTTTAAGAGTGGTAGCTTTCTCTCCCTATGAACTATCTCGGAGATTAAGATCGTCCAAGGAGGCCCTGCTTTAGGTTCCACCTCCTTCGCAGGCACAATTGGTGGGAACGAGATACAGGGTCTTCTCACTGGTGGCCCCTCGGCCATGGAACTCCCTCCCCAGTAATGTTAGATCAGCCCGCTTCCTACTGACCTTCAGAAAGAAAGTGAAAACGTGGCTTTGGGGTCAAGCCTTTGGACAAGAACTATACTGCAATTGATGGACTGGAATTATGTGCAACGACTACCGGGTTGACCTGGATTATGATTGCGGATAGCGTGGTTTTATAATGACTGTAATGTTTTTTAAATGTTTTAATGTATTCCTATTTTGATCTTAATTTTAATTTAAATGTTTATTTTAATTGTACATTGTTGTTAAGGTATTGAATTGTTGCCTATTTGTAAGCTGCCTTGGGTCCCTTCGGGGGTCAATAAAGGTGGGATATAAATATAGCAAATAAATAAATAAATTGCATTATATCAGAATATAATTATTTGAATTATGTCAGGAATAGTTATAAGCATTTTACAAAAGCTGTGTGTAAGAGGTGTAGGGTATCAGAACTTAATGAGATTAATTTGGGGGTACAGATTGCTAAGAAAGAACAGAGAACATGAACATGGGTACTCAGTTGATATCATTCACATAACAAGTGAATGCGATGGAAACTGATAATTAACCCCTGGGAATTTAAGTACAAAACCCAAAAAATATCTGCAAAAGCATGCGTATGGTTATTTTCTTCAATCTGAGCTTTGCGTCACACACAAAGAGTGAGCTTACATCTTGTCAGTTAATTAGAAATTACAAACATGCCCCCTGACATTTTAATCTTCTTACAAAGCAGAAGATACTGTAAATACAGTTGAACTATCCTCTCCTAATTGGCTTTCCAGGAGAACATACTTTTGTCCCATTCTTTTAAAAGCAGATATTAATTTTCCTGTGTTTCTATTGTATATGCTTTTAATGGTTTTAGAAATACCAAAAACAGAAACACTTATTGGACTGAACACAAAACTGTAAACAATATCTGCACAGGGAAAGGATGCAAACACACACTACGTTCTCTCATTGCTCCCAATGCCAATTGTCTCCATGAGTTTTTACTCAGTGAATGCAGCAGGAAGAACAACCGCCAGAATAGTGGTTCTCAACCTGTGGGTCCCCAGATGTTTTTGGCCTTCAACTCCCAGAAATACCAACAACTGGGAAACTGGCTGGGATTTCTGGGAGTTGTAAGCCAAAACATCTGGGAACCCAGAGGTTGAGAACTACTGTGCTATGAGAAGATGATTCTGAAACTATCTACTTCTAGAACATCTTTGAATAAGCTCATCCTCATCCCATGCAGTCTGCAGGGAGCAAAACGAGGATTATGAAACCATTGACCACAGATGACAACGTGAGCCACCTAGACATATTGTTTTATTACTGTTGATAATTGCTATAAAAGGAAAGTTGTACACAATAAACAAATGTAAGTTGTTTGCCTTGTTCCGTATACCTTCACGTTTCCTTCCATTGTACTGCTGTGTTATATTTATTAAATGCAAACAGCTAGATAATTTTAAATTTATATAGAAATGTCTAGGCATGTCTAGCAACAAGAGGAAGATTCAAGATAGCAGCAGGAATATTTGCCTATGGGAGGGATTTGACTGGAGAACAAGGCAAGAAGTTTGAGAACTGTTGCATTCATGCAATTCCCGTGTTGGCATGAAACAGTAAAAATACTTGAATAGCGTTAAAGACTTAGACTAGGTGATATAAGAAACAAACACTTCCCAATGACTCCAATCATATACCTAAGAGAAATTCCTATTAAGCACAATGAATCAATGTCTATTAGACTGCAGTATCAGTCTCTCTCTTTCATCCTATGCCAAATGACAAGTCATGACTCCATGTAAATGTTAATAATGCTAAGCTAAAGCTCAGGGAGGAACCCACAGTGGTGCAGTGGGTTAAACTGCTGAGCTGCTGAATTTGCTGACCAAAAGGTCGGTGGTTTGAATCTGGGGAGCAAGGTGAGCTCCTGCTGTTAGCCCCAGCTTCTGCTAACCTAGCAGTTTGAAAACATCCAAATGTGAATAGATCAATAGGTACCGCTCCGGCGGGAAGGTAACAGCGCTCCATGCAGTCATGCTGGCCACATGACCTTGTAGGTGTCTATGGACAATGCAGGCTCTTTGGCTTAGAAATGGAGCACCACCACCCCAGAGTCAGATACGACTAGACTTAATGTCAAGAGGAACCTTTAGGGCTCAGGGAATTATATCCCTCTGGTTTTCTTTTAAATCAGGTGGCATCATAAGCCATCATAAGGGTATGCTTTGGGATAGATCATGAATCTTTTTGGAAATGAAGTAAGTTTAATATGTAGCTTCACCATGGGGAAGCAAACTGATGAGATGAGAAACATTTAAGTATTTCTTAATATTTAAGATATAGGCACAAATAACCTGGGTTGCTGAGTTTTTCGGGCTATATGGTCATGTTCCAGTAGCATTCTCTCCTGACGTTTCACCTGCATCTGTGGCTTGCATCTTCAGAGGTTCTGTTAGCAGTGAAGCAAGTGGAGTGAATGTATCTCTGTGGAATGTTCACGGTGGGAGAAAGAATGCTTGTCTGTTTAAAGCAAGTGTGAATGTTGCCTCATTTCCAACAGATCTCTGAACAAACCTCTGAGGATGCTTGCCACAGATGCAGGTGAAATGTCAGGAGAGAAAGCTACTGGAACATGGCCATACAGCCTGAAAAACTCACAACAACCCAATGATTCTGGCCATGAAAGCCTTCAACAACACAAATCCCCTGGTACGAAGGCAATGAAAATTAAAGACATCACAATAAAAGAGAGCCTTGTTTCAATATATATATATATTCTAGCCAAAGAAGAAATGAAAAGGGGATATAAACCTGGAGTCATCAACATTATTACATTTACAACTGAAATTGCAACAAAATTATTATGCAGGAAGAAATATGTTTGTACCAAAGGTTCTATCTCAGTGTATCTCAACCTGGGGGTCGGGACCCCTGGGAGGGTCGCGAGAGGGTGTCAGAGGGGTCGCCAAGGACCATCAGAAAACACAGTATTTTCTGTTGGTCATCTGGGTTCTGTGTGGGAAGTTAGGTCCAATTCTGTTGTTGGTGGGATTCAGACTGCTCTTTGATTGTAGGTGAAGTATAAATCCCAGCAACTACAACTCCCAAATGCCAAGGTCTATTTCCCCCAAACTCCACCAGTGTTCACATCTGAGCATATTGAGTATCCGTGCCAGGTTTGGTTCAGATCTATCACTGTTTGAGTTCACAGTGCTCTCTGGATGTCGGTGAACTACAACTCTGAAACTCAAGGTCAATGCCCACCAAACCCTTCCGGTATTTCATATTGGTCATGGGAGTTCTGTGTGCCAACTTTGGTTCAATTCTATCGTTGGTGGAGTTCAATATGCTCTTTGATTGCAGATGAACTATAAATCCCAGCAACTACAACTCCTAAATTACAAAATCAATCCCTTCCCCCAACCCCACCAGTATTCAAATTTGGATTACATTGGGTATTTGTGCCAAATTTGGTCCAGTGAATGAAAATACATCCTGCATATCAGATATTTACATAACGATTCATAACAGTAGCAAAATTACAGTTATGAAGTAACAATGAAAATAATTTTATGGTTGGGGGTCACCACAACATGAGGAACTGTATTAAGGGGTCGCGGCATTAGGAAGGTTGAAAACCACATCTTCTTGCAAGTACTATACATTACTGAAAAACAGTAGCCCTTTAAAAATGACAACACTGTGATGGTTTCATAAATATTTCTATTTCTGGGAGCAATCAAGTACAACATTGCAATTTTCAACAGCAATTTCAGGAAGGCTGCCATTTCAGCTGGAAGATTCAGCACTTGTCTGCACTGCACACTAAGAAGTTCAGAGTGTTCTTAGTTCATAATAACTGAATCAATATTTTGTTTTATCTTAAATGCAGCAAGAGAAATACATAAAAATCGCTTCAGACTTGTGAGGTTTAATGCATCACAGTATTTGACAGAGAAGTCATTCCCAACCTTCAGTCCTCCAGATGTTTACGATTTCAACTCTTACAAGCTCCAACCAGCTTGGCCAACTGCAAGGAATTCTGGGAGCAGAAGTCCTAAACACCTATTGGACTGTAGATTCAGAACCATCTCTGAACTTACCATATTGCTAGGATCAATCTTCTCTGGTATTTGAGCATTAATAGGACATTCCACATATTCATATGCTCTTTCTTGATGGGCAGGAGCAGAAGCATTCTGATTCACATCAAGGTTAGGTTTCATGTGCATTGGACAGCCTAAAGCAAAGCAAAGTATAATTCATGTGGCAGAATGTAAAGGCGGTTAAACCAGCTCCCTTTTCCCCCTTTAGCTTTTAACTCAATATTTCCTGCTGCTAATAATTTAATTTAAACAGTCTGCATATGTGAGACTGGCAATTAATTTTGCAAGACAACCTTCATGGTACTTCTAAGGCCCCTTCTACACTGCCATATAATCCAGATTATCAAATCAGATAATCAACATTATCTGCTTCAAACTGGATTATATGAGACTACACTGCCATATAATCCAGTTCAAATCAGATAATCTAGATTTTATATGGCAGTGTAGAAGGAGTCTAAGAGTGCAGTGAGGATATGGGGTAGGTAATCTGGATCAAGAACAGGCAACCATTAAGATAAGACTGCGACCAAATTGTTGTGCAGTGCATTATGCCTCAGGGCTGCTGTTCAACCAGGAAATAACTGTTTGGCAGGTTGGTGAAAGCCAGTTCAGACTGGAAAACAAAATATGTGAAAATAACTCTGCTAATGTCAGCTGTTCCACTCCAGATGCTGTAGTGGAAGTCTTCTCATCTAGTGAAAACACTGGGAGGAGGCCAAAGCTAAAGCCTTTCCCTCTTCTCAACAATTCTGAGGGATTTCAGTGGGGTAAGAACTTTTAACTTCATTCACATTCCAGGTCTCTTGCTAACTATCAGTGAAGAGTGCATCAACTATATTTCCTCCTTACCACTGTAACAGGGGCAATTGTGAAGATATGGAGAGGAGCCCCCAAAACCGCCTGTCCCTCATCTGGACCAATGACAAACTGAAAAGTGTCTGGAAGAAGCATTCTTGTTGATTTCAGATTCTCAACACCATTCTGAGCTACAGTTCCTACTCAAACTCTAAGGTGATCTACAATACAAGTCTATGGTATCTCCCTTTTCTAATATGTCTGGACAGCACAGCACTCCAGATTCAGGTGCAAAGAAGGAAAAGAGTATTATAAACAACTATAATTTTTTTAAAAATCCTTACAAAATGGGGGAGTCAAACTTGTCATCTTTAATATTTTCTCTAAGATATTTATCTCTTCGAACTTGTCCATATGAGTACATTTATTCATAACTCCAGTGTCTGGGTGGCCTTGGTAACTGTAGAAGAAATATCAGTGGGTTATTCCACCTATGTTTTGTTGTGACATTCGGGGTGCATCTACACTGTAGAGTTATTGCAGTTTGATGCCACTTTAACTGTTTAATCAAACTACAACACCCAGGATGGAATCCTGTGTGTTGTAGTTTGATTAAGCACCAGCACACTTCAGCAGAGAAGACTAAAGATCTTGAAACATTACAACTCTTAAGGTCTCATAGTACTGAGCCACAGCAGTTAAAAGTGATGTCTAACTGCTGGGGTCCTTAAACTATGGCCCGGGGGCCAGATGCGGCCCTCCAAGGTCATTTACTCGGCCCTCGCTCAGGGTCAACCTAAGTGTGAAACGACTTGAAAGCACACAACAACAACAACAACAACAACAACAATCCTATCTCATCAGCCAATAGTAGGCCCACACTTCCCATTGAAATACTAATAATTTATATTTGTTGAAATCATTCTTTATTTTAATTATTGTATTGTTTTTAAGTGTTTTTGCACTACAAATAAGATATGTGCAGTGTGCATTCACTAATGTTTTTTCAAATTATAATCCGGACGTCCAACAGTTTGAGGGACTGTGACCTGGCCCTCTGTTTAAAAAGTTTGAGGACCCCTGTCTAACTGCATTAATTCCACAGTGCCTCAGTTATAAAACCTGTAACAGGTAACACCAAGATAAATCTTATGCATCCAATAGAACTCAGTAGTTCAGTTACTATAGCGTAATAATAACAACAGGATTGAAGAGAAACAACTGGAAAAGCTGATACAATATGACAATTTAAAGATCGAACTGCAAAAAACTTTGGCACAAGCCAGTCAAGGTGGTCTCAGTGGTGATTACCATCTGCCAGCTGCAAAAGGCCACCTTACTGGGATCTGCACGCATTATTCACCGATACATCACACAATCCTAGACATTTGGGAAGTGTCCGACGAGTGATCCCATACAACAGCCAGCAGAGGGATCTTGTTTGCTGTGGACTCATCTTGTTGTGTTTCAAATAATAACAACAACTTTTTGTGCCCCGCCTCCATCTTCCCATAGGGACTCAAGATGACTTACATATGATATAAGGTCTAAAATAAACACACAGTACAATACAAAAAAGTAAAACCAATACCACATAAAGCAACAATTTAAAACTCAGAAAAACGCACAATAATCTATGATGACAACTGCCGTTAGGGCATGGCATAGGTATAGGACTCACACTAACACAACAAAACAGAGCTAACATGTTTTTGATACATTTACAAAAGGCAATAAAGGACAACCTTTTAAATTATAGGTTAGGGTTTTAAAAATGTATTTATATTTAATTTTCTTGGCTAAAATTCAAGTTTAATTAAAATTTCAGCAATGGAATCCTGGGATTTGTAGTTTGATGAGGCATCAGCAGTCTTTGCCAGAAGCTAAAGACCATGAAGACTACAGCTCCCATAATTTCACAACATTTAGCCATGGCAGTTGAAGTGATGTGAAACTGCATTAATTCTACAGTGCACACAGCCATATAACCCAGAATATCAAGTCAGATAATCCACATTATCTGCTTTGAACTGGAATATCTGAGTCTACACTGCCATATAATCCAGTTCAATGTGGATTTTATACAGCTGTATGGAAGGGATCTATATGGCCATGTACCATGCCTAACATAAAGTCACAAAGCTAAGTTTCTAGCTGCCTTGATTTCACTAAAACCTCAGGCTGGGCTTCTCATGCTCACCAGAGTGAGAACATATTGAGATGTAGAATGAAAATGTTATTAATAGTACTATTAAAATGACATTGTTAAAAAGAAGCATTACTATTAGTGAAAAATGAAATAAAATTACTTCTTAGATGGCCAGGTTGTACAAGCAATTACCTTCCATTTTCTTTTGGTGCATTGGACATTCTGAAGGTGGAGCCTTAGGTTGCTCTGATATATTTGCCTGGAGGGCAATTGAGGGAGAAGATGCAGACAAACCCATAGCAATCTCTAGTTCTTGCTTCACATTAGATTTCTGAGCAGGACATCTGAAATGCAAAAAATCAGAATATGGTTTGCTAGGAGAAGGAGAAACTAAACAAGACAGATTACTTGCAGGGGAAAAATAAGCAGAAATTTATCGACATATGATTTCATAAATTATAAAACCATAAATGTAAGCAAATGATGAAGTTCAAACAAGTCAAACTGTTGCCTTTATAACACTACACAAGTACTATATGAGATAAGAATCCCACGTTAGTGGTCCAAGTATGGTATGCTAATCACTATCTGATTATTGTAATATAGAGCCACAGAGCCATAACCCAGATTATCAAGGCAGAAAATCCCACAATATCTGCTTAGAACTGGTGGCATTATTTATTTATTTATTTATTTAAAAGTTTTCTATACCGATCTTCTCACCTACAAGAGGGACTCAGATCCGGTTCACAACATGTGTTCATATACAAAAATACAAACCACACAATGCATCATCATTACACAATTAAAAACATATTACAATACAACATTGTCATCATCACACTTATATAGCCACGTCGTGGACTCAGATAACCCAGTTCAAAGCAGATAATGTAGGATTTTCTGCCTTGATATTCTGGGATATAGGGCTGTGTGGAAGGGGACATAATCTACTGGCACTTTGTATAATCCCCATTCATCAATGTAAATGTATTTTATGCACACTAGTAAGCACAGTTGGTATACTTTCAGGCTGGAGCTACACTGCTATATAATCTGATTTCTGAATCCAGATTACAGGCTTTGAACTCGAATATATTAGCCTACACTGCCATATAATCCCATTCAATGCAGATAATCTGGATTCAGAAACTGGATTATATGCCAGTTTAGATGGGGCCTCAGCTCTGACAAGTGTGCCTAGGATGGCAAGAATCTTCTGTATGCAAGGTATCTAAAAACAAAGGACCAAACATGAAGAGCAACAGCACCTCAGACCTTTAAAAAAAAAAGGAGTGGAAGAAAATTGAGCCTTAGTTTCAAACTGTACAACGAATTGGTACTTAAAGATTAGCAGACTACATTTCTTTAGATAATTATTGTACTTTTTTCAAAAAGTTGAGGAACACACATCCAGCCAATCTGATGTTAACAATTTGAGTGTTGAAGCAGGATTCTTAGAAACTGGGATTTAGCCAGAAGAATTCACTGTATGACCTGATAAAAGTCGAAGTAACATTTTCTCAGCCTTAGAGGAAGTCAATGACATCTGTTCTAAACAAATCCTGCCAAGAAAATCCTAAATAAGGTTATTGTAATTCAGAATTGACTTGAAAGAACACAAGAAGGATTTCTCCAATTTAATGCTTTCCATGTGTATTGGACTACAACTCTTCAACCCACCTTGGGGATGATGGGGAAGGCAGTCCAACGCAACTGAAGGGCATCACATTTGGAGAAAGTGAAATTGCATGTTCTTCTCCCTAAATAATTTGAGTATACATCATGACATTATGTAGAATAGATGTTATAGAAAAGGAGTGGGCAATGCTGTTCAGTACTACACTCCCAGACAAGTTATAAACAACGAAGAGGGAGGACAAGACAAAATCCTAAATGTACTTCTTAGTCACATTTCATGATGAAGCAGCTCATCACAAGCAGTGACTTTTGGCATAGCATTCAACAGTAATCAAAGGATGTGTTATGCAGCTTGATGCTATAATAACCATAGGTCATAAAAACTTTTTAAAGAAATGTATGCCGGTTTTATAAGAACATGCCTTTCTAAAACCAAAAATGATCTCAGATTTGCTCCATCAAGTACAGGTTTTTCATAACTTAATTTGGCGTTTTTTGGATGTGATTGGATAAAATTATAGTAGTATTGAAATGAGTAATGCAGTTGCTGAAAGAACTAAGTGTGGTACATTTTGACAGCTTTTTAAAATTTAGCACCCATAATTAGATTTTAAAAGCTGCAATGTTGAAAAATGATTTTTCAGAACAGACCTGTGAATAGTCTCAGTTACTATTACACTGGTCAATATACATTTTGGTGCCTCAAATGTTAGAGCTGTTTCTGGGTTTACTCGACCTGCTGATTCCAAAAATGGTACCAGTTTTCACCAATCAACTTTTCTTTTTGAGATAAAGAACATATGGCATCGACCTGTTGCCTTCTGTTTGCCTGAAGAAAACCATGATAACCATATCTAAGAACCTAGAGCTGATGCGGGTCCCAAATATCCCCAAGAATAGACCTAAAAACAAAGACACTAAGAAAACATTTTTTGTTGTTGGCTGTTATGTTTGCATCTGGGCAAATATAACAATGTGTGTTCGCTTCAATTCTAGGAATTTCATAGGGTATTCTTAGGAAACAAATACTTGAGAGATTGTAAGTTTCTTCCTCTGAAATATAGTCAGCCCTCCACATGCATGGATTCTGCATCCACAGAATCAACTATCCTTGGTTTGAAAATAATAAAATTCCAAAGGAAAGCCTTGATTTTGTCATTTGATATCAGTGACACCATTTTATTACACCATTGAATGGAATTGGCAGATTTTGGTATCCATGGTAACCTTGGAACCAAACCATAGTGGATACCAAGCCAACAGCAGCTGGTATTCATTAACAGTTCTGACTTACAAACAAATCCTTAAGAATTTGGGAGGGGGGGGGGGTGAGACAACAGGAAGTGAGAGAAATCTACTTCTCAAAAGGGAAATTCACTCCTGAAAGAATTATCATGGGGGAAAGGTATCTCCACTGAATAATAATAATAACAATAATAATAATAATAATAATAATAATAATAATAACTTTATTTATATACCACTCCATCTCCCCGAGGGGACTCAGAGCAGTTCCCAGGTAACATCACAAAACATACAAAGTAAAAAACAACATAACCATAAGATTAACAAAACAAAATATAAGCATAAAAATTGTTGCCATAACACATATATATTAAAAGTAATCCTGCCTGTTCAAGGCAATTAAAAAATTTAAAAGGCCGGGCCAAGATTTGTGCAAGCCCAAAAATTCTAGGGGCCCCAGGAATTAAGTGCAATGCTATGGCAGGCAACAATAATATTAGGTACGGGTCTGTGGCTGTTCATTCTGGGGCCGATTAGAGGAAAGAATCTGGGTAATTGGTAGGAAGAATAAGGCTGTATTCGACAATGTGTAGGGCTAAAACTTTATCACCAATCCTTGTTTCTACAACAAGCAAAGTTTTTCAAAATCCAATCCTCACAGGGATAGAAAGTGCAGTGAAATAATCTGAACATGGGCATAGGCAACAAAACAAATACTGCAGGGGTGTTCACCCTTCCCTGTGCTATGCAAAGATGGGTGGATGGCTAGAATTACATTTTTAAAATGTGCCTGTTCTGACTTACATACAAATTCAACTTAAGAACAAACCCACGGAACCTATACTTTTCATAACTTGGGGATTGCCTATATTGATCAGGGTTGAGCCTACCGTAGCTTCCAAGAGCAGATAAGATCTATAGAATAACAATAGCTAGCACTTTATTCTAGGCCCCTTCCAAACAGCTGTATAAAATTCACCTTGAACTGGATTATATGGCAGTGTGGACTCAGGGCCCTTGCAGACAGGGCTTATATCCAAGGATCTGATCCCAGGTTTCCTGCTTTAAACTGGATTGTATGAGTCCGCACTGCCAGAAAATTTGGGATAAACAGAAAACCTGGGATCAGATCCTGGGCCCCCAGATAACCCAGGACCTTACACACAGCCCTATAACCCAGACTATCAAGGCAGAATAACCCACAATATCTGGTTTGAACTTGAATATGTGAGTCTACATTACCATACATTCCAGTTCATATCAGACAATGTGGGATTTTATTCAGCTGTGCAGGAGTCCAAGCTCAAAGCTGATATTGTGGATTATCTGCTTTGATATTCTGGGTTATATGGCTGTGTGGTAGAGCCCTTAGTATGGAAGTACTACAGAGCCTGTCCAGAATAACCTTGGAGAGCTGCTCCCTTTAACATTGGCACCACTTCAACAGATGAAGACTTCTCCAAGACACTTTTCGGTTCATTCTATACCTAGGTTTTGGGTTTGTTTTTCTGGACTACAACTCCCAGAACCCCTTGCCCAACCAAACCTGGTTAGGTTGGACAAGGGGTTCTGGGAGTTGTAGTCCAAAGCCTCCGCGTGGCTTGATTCCTCTCTTACCGCTTCTAGTCAAGGATTCAGTCGTCCAGTCTGACTTCCCCTTTTTTGGTGATGGTTCAACCCTGATCCTCCCTTCCACTTCAGGAGTAAAGGGATCTTGAAAGACACTTGGGGGGGTGGGAGAGAGAGAAATAATAGTGGAGAGGCCTGACAATCCCAACCCGGCTCCCTTCACTCACCTCTGTAGGCCGCCGGTCACCCTGGGAGACGTGTGAACTTCTCACTTCTCGCGAGACTCGCCTTCCGCGCGAGGGGAGGGGGAAGAGAGAGAGAGGAAGGAAGGAACGTCAGAAAGAGCTGTGGGGGCGGGGTCTGAAGCGGCTGAAGGGAAAAGGGGCAGAGTGGCGGGCTCGTGCCTCGGTTGCCACGCCAACCGCCGAGGCTGGCTCTCTGCTGTCACGATTCTGCGCTCTCTCTCTCTCTCTCTCTCAGGCCCCTTTTACACTGCCAAATGAAGGCCAGATTATCTGCTTTGAGCCTTAGGCTCCTTCCACACAGCTCTAGATCTCAAAATACCAAGGCAGGAATGTCCACATTATCTGAGTGTGGACACAGATAACCCAGTGTGGACATAGTGTGAGTGTAGACTCAGGTAACCCAGTTCAAAGCAGATATTGTGGGATTTTCTGCCTTGATATTCTGGGTTATATGGCTGCGTGGAAGGGTCCTTGGGCCCCCTTCCACACAACTGCATAAAATCTCACATTCTTCACTTCATTTCACTTTATTTCTTAATTAGTCGCTCTCCACCAAGGTACTCCAAGCAACTTACAATTTAAAATAGCATTTACACAATATAAAAACATTCAACAGTGACTATTTGGCAATTTAGATCTGATTACTTAAATGCACAACCAAACAGCCAAGTCTTGAGCGCCTTTACAAAAGGTCGCAACTCCGACATTGCTCTAACATATGGAGGCAATGAGTTCCACAGAATTGGAGCATAGGTCGAAAAAGCTCTATGCCGTGTAGCTTCCAGGTGTACCTCCCTAGGACCCGGTATTTATAGGAGATTTTCCTGGGTGGATCGAGGTGACCACTGATGGGGAAAAGGAATGAGGCGGTCCCTAAGATTTAAAGGTCCTTGGATTTTGAGCTCTAAATGTCAGGATCAGTATCTTGTAAGAGATCCAATGTTCTATTGGTAGCCAATGCAGTTGATGCAGAATTGGTGTAATATGGGATCTTATAGATGATCCCGCTAGCAGCCTGGCCGCATTTTGGACCATCCAAATCTTCTGGGTTGTTGACTTTGGAAGGCCGGCATATAAGGCATTGCAATAGTCCAACCTCGTGACTGTTGCGTGGATTACTGTTGCCAATGCTTCTACCAAAAGGTAGGATGCCAATTTCCTTGCCTGGCGAAGATGAAAAAAGGCCTGCTTACTTATGACAGTGATCTGGCCCTCCATCGTCAGCAATGAGTCCAACACAACCCCAAGGCTTTTAACAGTGGCAGATGGAACCAGAACTTCCCCATCGAAATCATTACTTGCTTTGAACTGGAATATATAGAAGTGTGGACTCAGATAACATAGGCTGCTTCCGCACAGCCACATAACCCAGAATATCAAAGCAGATACTCCACAGTATCTCCTTTGGAATGGATTATAGCATCCACACTGTCATATAATCCAGTTCAAAGCAGATAAAGTGGGGTTTTATACAGCTGTGTGGAAAGGGCCCCAGTTCAAAGCAGATGTAGTAGATTATCTGCCTTGATATCTGCCCTTCCACACAGCCCTATATCCCAGAATATCAAGGCAGGAAATCCCACATTATGAGTATGGACACAGATAACCCAGTTCAAAGCAGATATTCTGGCATATAGGGCTAGGTTTGATGGCTGTGTGGAAGAGTCCTTCCACACAGCCCTATATCCCAAAATATCAAGGCAGAAAAACCCACAATATCTGCTTTGAACTATATGGCTGTGTGGAAGGGCCCTAGGACTTGGAGCAATGTGTTCAAATTACAGAAAAGGAGATTCTACTTGAACATTAGTAAGAACTTCCTGACCATGCAAGCTCAACATGTTCAACAGTGGAGCTCCCTGATTCTGAGGGCCCTTCCACACAGCCCTATATCCCAGAATATCAGGGCAGGACATCCCACAATTTCTGCTTTGAATTGGGTTATCTGAGTCCACACTAGCCATTGTTTTATTGACACTAAACATGTTTGGTGTCAGGATAGCAACCAAGTTGTATGTTTTATATAAAGGGATCAAGCATTTATTACTTCTAGAAGAATTAATTTGGTGCATTAAAAAAGGGAAATTTATCGGGGATAGTGAGCAAAGTTTGGAGCCAACATATTCTGTTTTGCTGATATATTAGACAAGGTAGAGATAAGGGTAAAGATTTCCCCCTGACATTAAGTCCAGTCATGTCCGACTCTGGGGGTTGGTGCTCATCTCCATTTCTAAGTGAAGAGCTGGCGTTGTCAGTAGACACCTCCAAGGTCATGTGGCCGGCATGAAAACAAACAATCCCCTAAAGCCCACATTAAGTTCTGATAGCCCTGACAAACTAGGTTGGCTTGGCTTTTGGTTCTGTGGTAGCTGTAGATATTTTTTATTCATTATGAAATGGTAGCTTGAAGCAGTGAATACAGTGTTACTGTACCAGAGACCATGTTATGTTTTGGGCTTGTACATTCAATTGTATAAAGTGCCCAAAATGAGAAGTTGTGTGTTTGCCTACAGTGTTGTGTGTTTGCCTACAGAAGCCATTACTGCATCAAAGCAATTTCTGCTATTTGCTTTCCCATGACTTTGGCTCACTAAGTACTTAGATTAACCAAATAATGAAAGCAATTGCTTTCAACATATTTACAGAGGTACTCCTGTGTTTGTGCCACTGCTTCCAAAGCTGAATACAGTTCAAACAAGCCAACAGCTCCTTTAATGCTGCAATGCAGATCTAAACTCTAGAATGCCTTTGAGTGAAAATAACCTGTCTCTACAGAGCACAAGAGGCACAACCCTTTATGTAAGAGAGTGTTTCTCCTTTATGGCCCTTCATACACTCAAATGAAATCTCAGTTTGAGTAATTTACTAATATCACATTATGATAGAAGACTGCAACATGTAAACATATCACAACAAATGCAGGCAACAAAGAATGAAGACAAAATGTTGTTGGATTGCGGTATGCAGGTCAAATCAATTGAAGTAAATACAATTTAAAGATCTAAACCAGTGGTTCTCAACCTTCCTAATGCCGTGACCCCTTAATACAGTTCCTCATGTTGTGGTGACCCCCAACCATAACCCTAACATTATGAATCGCCATGTAAATAATGATCTGCAGGATGTATTTTCATTCACTGGAGCAAATTTGGCACAAATACCCAGTATGCCCAAATTTGAATACTGGTGGGGTTGGCGGGGGGATTGATTTTGCCATTTGGGAGTTGTAGTTGCTGGGATTTATAGTTAACATGTAAACAAAGAGCATTCTGAACCCCACCAACAATGGAATTGAACCAAAGTTTGCACAGAGAACTCCCACGATCAAAAGAAAATACTGGAAGGGTTTGGTGGGCATTGACCTTGAGTTTGGGAGTTGTAGTTTGCCTACATCCAGAGAACACTGTGGGCTCAAACAATGATGGATCTGGACCAAACTTGGCACGGATACTCAATATGCCCAAATGTGAACACTGATGGGGTTTGGGGAAAATAGACTTTGACATTTGGGAGTTGTAGATACTGGGATTTATAGTTCACCTACAATCAAGGAGCGTTCTGAACCCCACCAATGATAGAATTGGGCCAAACTTCCCAAACAGAACCCCATGACCAACAAAAAATACTGTTTTTTCTGATGGTCTTTGGTGACCCCTCTGACATCCCTTTGTGACCCCCTCAGGGGTCCCGACCCCCAGGTTGAGAAACACTGATCTAAACTATATAAGCAATTTAAATAGATTGAAAACATATTAAACATCTTAAAAATTTAAGAAGTTAATCAATCCTCATTAATTAAACCCCGTTACTATAAAGCCATGTTTTCATTTGGTGCTGGAACGAAGCCCACTTCAATGTCAATTGGGCATCCAAGGTACCGCTACTAAGACGGCTCTTTCCCATGTCAATCCAGCAATGTTTTCCCCCCTCATTGGTGAAATAGAGGAGACCCTCCCTAGCAGAACTCAGTCAAGTGTTTACAGTGATACCTTGACTTAAGAATTGAATTAATTCTGTGACTGAGCTCTTAACTCAAAATGTTCTTATCTCAAAGCGACTTTGCATTGAAATGCTGTCAACCCATGCTAGACCCCGGACACCCTCAACCATTTTCGTTACATGTTTTTAAATAAGAAAATGTACTTTATAAATAACAAATAATGTATCACATGGAACAATTAAAAAAAGGAAGATCAACTTTAAAATGGTTGAAGCACAAAGTTGTGGCAAGGAAGCAGGAAGCAAAAGTGAAGAGGCAGAATGAAGAAGCATAATTTTCTTCATACCGTACTCATTCCTGTCATCCTTCCTCTCTCTCTCTCTCTCTCTTCATGAAGCCAAACATACCAGGAATAATAATAATAATAATAATAATAATAATAATAATAACTACTATTGCTACCATTTTTTTCTTATACCCCACTACCATCTCCCCGAAGCGACTTGGAGCAACTTACATATGGGACAGAAAGTCCAAGAGACTTAAAAGCAAAACAATCCATTAAAACAAAAACCACACAAAATCAGCTAATCCAAAGTTCTTCAAAGAGGACAAGAGCAAAGCGGACAGCAATCTCCCAAAGTGGATAAGAGCATGAGGCATGGAGGCTGCTCCCTTGAAGCCCTGTACTCTCGCACTAGCACTCCCTCTGGTGCTAGGTCTTAACTCAAAATGCTGCTCTTATGTCAAAGCGAAATCTGGGCTGAGCAACAACTTTAAACTCAAAATGCTCATAAGTTGGGATGTTCTTAGCTCATGGTCCCACTGCATAAGGGGAGACACTCTGTTATCTCCTCCAGGGAGACAGGTTTAAGGGAATCACAAACGGGCAAAAAGTTGCTTCATTTGGTTAGTGGTTGTTTTCTTCCAAAATACAGAAGTTTTGCATAAGTTTATGAGTACCTTTCTGCAAGGGACATTGTAAGGGGGGGGGGGGTGTCTCATACACTTTTATAGCCATATCTTGGTAGGGAAGTTTTTTCGTCAGTTACTGTGACTCCATCTATGTGAGTCAATGTATTTTTAGGGGAGGGGGATACTACATTGGCCAAATAAAAGGCTGGACATGTTCATTCTGCCTAGAAATGCACAGAACTTTTCCATTACATGATTGGCATTATATACTTCTAAAAAAAAAGTGGTATTATTAGATGAAGATGTCTCCTGACTTCATCCTTTGTTTTCAAACTCTGTTTGAAGTCTTCCTTCTCAACTCCATAGGCATTTTGTCCCCTTTATAAATGTTATTCACATTAGCAAAAGCACAGGAAGCAAGGAAATTTTCTCTATTGGTTCATGTTAAGGAAACATTAAACAAGAAATTAGGTAGAGAGTGAATGTTTAATGTTGTCACCTAATGAGAAAGCTTTAGTGTGAACTTTAATGTTTTATTTACACACATTAAGTAGAAGGTCCGAGACAGGTTGGTGTCCAGCATACTTCAAAAATTGCAAGAATTGCTAGAAGTTGCAGCTCAGCATCATCTGGAGGGCTTTGTCTGCCCTAAGGCAACACAAAGCAACATGCCAGTAGGCCCTTTACACTATGGAATTACAATGCTGTTACTCCACTTTGGACCTCATCACACTAGAGAATGAATCCACTTTAAATCCGGTTGCTGCCTCCAGCAGAATTCTGAGGTTTGTAGTTTAGAGAGGAGCCTTTAACAGCTTCACTAAACTACAAACCTCAGATTCTGCTGCAAGCAGAAACCGGATTTAAAGTGGATTCATTATCTAGTGCGATGAAGTACTTTAACTGCAATAGTTCTATGGTATGGAAGCCTGGCATTTGCAGTTTAGGGAATTGTGATAGAGAACTCTAGTGCCTCATGAAACTGCAAAGCCCAGGACTCCATAGATAGAGTCAGGGCAATTAAAGTGGAGTCAAAACACTATAATTCTGTAGCATGAATGGGCTCCAGATACCCTTACACTTAAGTCTGACTACTAACTTAATCTGTATATGTGGTCACAGGAATATAGGTGACAAAACCAAATTATTGGTTGAACTCTACTAGTTCATTTTGAAGTTTTTTTAAAAGACTTAATTGGCTTGTTTATCTCTGGACATAATTCCAAGAAGTAGCAATTGGAAATGTGAAGGTATCCCAACACGATACCAACAACAATAAAACCCACAACAGTTTATCCATTTTTTCGATCTTAAAAAAAATCTATTCTCAGTCCCCCAAATTAGTTGAAAATGGCTGGAAGTGATGGAATGATATTTCTAGTTGTCCAAAACGGTGGTCATGGCACAGTTACAAAGGAGCCAAAATACACACAGAGACACCAGCCTGGAACATGTCCCCTCCCTCTGGAAGTTAGGAGATAATGCAATGATCTGATGACCTGCTGATGGAAATCTCCTCAAGAACATTCAAGTAAACAGTCATTATTATCTGTCTTTGTTTTGTTTCGACACACACAGACATACATATATACAGAGTATAGAGGGAGAAAATTGCAGTAATTCTCTTTTGGTGGAAACATTTGTAATGGAATCTCAATGTGTGGCTGTCTGCTTTCATTATCTTTAATGTTCTTACTGCTGTTTCTGCTTAGCACGTTTCTTTCTGATGCTGTTTTGTTGTAATTTTTATGTTTTTTCTTCATTATTTCAGTTCGGCTCCTTATTGTTAGCTTTTCTGTAAATATTCATTTGGAAAGCTGGAACAGAAATGTTTCAATGTAATATATAAATAAAATAAATTGCTTTGACAGTTGCACTGAGGGGAGTATGAATTCCAAATGTTCTGCTCCTAGGCCATGGAACAAATATGCATCAATTAATGCAAAAAAAAAACAAAACACTAGATACCTTCTAGGACAGTACACAATTTAGATGCCACATTTGTGATGCATAAATAGTCACCCAAGGGGTTTAAAGGAGCATTTATAGTCAGCTTGGAAGTTCGGGAGATATGTTCTCTATTTAGAAAGTCTGAAAATAAATTAAATAAATAGTACATTGCATTATATAACATAACAATGCCCAAAGCTCAGAAAATAAGCCCCATCAATACATTGCTTCCTAAAAGAACAGTCAAACCCTCACATTTGCTGGAGTTAGGGGGACAGGACCACTATGAAGGTAAAGAAGTGCAAATAAAAATAGCTATTATTACCAAAGATAATACTTCTCTAGGATTATAGGTCCTCCAGCATTGTTTTGTGGTCAGCTTCTGCCAGATAGCCATGAGATTTTTAGAGAAGTTGACCACAGAATCATACTGCAGGGTCTAAAGGGATCATTTTAATTAAATCTGCAGAAGTCAAGTCCACAAATGTGGAAGGTCGACTGTCAGTTACATTTAAACAGTAGGATTTTAAACTCTAGAGCAAGCCCACACATTTTTTAAATAAACAGAAAGACTGTAATGAAATCTTTAAATTACTTAAAGGAAATCAATGTCTCTAAAATAGTTGCAGGTTGCACTTCTGAGCAGCTGTTTTATCAGATTGCACAGTTAACCTCTGATAAGGCAATTGCATTATCTCCTTTAGCAGTGGAAATCAAGTGGTTCTCCAGATGCTGTTGAATAGCAAATCCCAGCAGTCCAGCATAGTCCATGCGGAGAACTGCATCAAATACTGGAAACTGCAATCCATAATCAGGAGGGTCACATGATTTCCATCACTAGTCTATAGGAATATCGAAACTGTGAACACATAGAGATGTCACAATCCTTACTGATGCACACATACGGGTCTGTCCTGACCCTTGGTTTGTCATCCAAGGCTCAAACGGATAGCAACATTTGAGTCAAGGATGACATTTGTTTATATTGAGGACTTCCTTAGTTGCATATTTGTTTATACAGAGATTTCCTCAATTGCATATTTTAAAAAAACATATGAAACCTAATCATAATAGGAAAGAGTATTTTAGGTAGTGATTATGGTAATGGATATCTATATCTTTATATCTCCATGTATACACAACAGTCTGAATCCAACATTAGACCTAGCCGAAAGATTCGTTTTCTATGCGGCCCATTGGTGATAACTGGGGGGACTTCCCACAGGCCCTCCTTCCTGTCTGTCCTTATAACTTTAATTAAGACCTAGATTAAAAGCATCAAAGTTAAGATACCACTCTTTCTGCAATCCTTTCCCTTCTGTCTGTAGAGGTTTAATGATTTGTTAAAGCTCTTTCTCTTCTAGAGGAGACAGGTGCTGCAGGTTGCTCTCTTCCTGCAGTATGCAGCTTTCCAAGGCATTTTAAGGAGGCTTCCCAATTGCCAGGGAGGGAAGAGCAATTGACCTGGAGCTATCCTAGCCTAGGTTTCCTTTTCAAAGCCCTCTCTTTTCTCTTGATTTGCAAGCCGTCCCCCCCTCCCCCCCCCACACACACACTTTTCCTTCGAGTGAGCAGCTGCTTCTCTCCTGCACTCCACTTGTAACTGAAAGCAGCCAGTTTTCGACAGCCGCTGTTCTGTTGTGGCTGGAAAAAAAATATGGAGGCTGAGCCCTTGCTGTTACGTCCAGCCAAACAAGCCATACCAGCCAGATGAGCTGAATGGAACCAGCCAAAATAAATCCGTGCACAAGCCTATTGATTAGATATCACCTAGGTTTAAACCCAGGATTGTCAATTCCCATACCAAAGAATCATTTTTATTTTTCAAAATAAAAGCTAGTAATTATTATGTATTAACTTATACTTACTTAACACTATTGATTTAGCTGATTTACCAAATTCAGTACATTTTTGTGAAAAAAATGAGGAAAAAACACTGCATTACTTTTTCTTTATTCTTAATTACCAATGCCTTGAATATACATGCAACTTATTGCTTAGACATTATTGCATATACCTGACAAGATCAGCCTACACACATGTATACAAAGAGCAAAGTTTTCAAATACTGGTGAAGCGTAAACTCATTTTGATGACTCTTGTCACAAATAATATTAAAGAATAACCAAACAGATGGGAAGTTCTTACTAAGGTTAGAAAATGGTTCAACTACTGTAGTCAACTGTACTGACCCCACTTTTTGTGCCATTATCATCAGGGGGAATCAACTCAGTGCTGTTTCAGTCTTTTGATTCAGTGTATTAAGATTCACAGTCAACATCTTCATTCTTTGCATTACCTTCATCAAACTTTGTGCTTAGATTTAGTCAGTCCTCTTATCATGGATTCTGTTGTACCACTTTTCAAGGTGGATTTCACAAGTCAGCAGAGCATCCCATTGTACTCATTTTAATTTTGTGAACTGAAAGAAAATCTTTTAAATGCAAAGGTAGATGAGGTGGAATATGTGCTGCCTGGCATACATGTTATCTTATTAAACATGCATTTGAAAGGAATAAGATATGTTTGGATCACATCTATGAACACATTCAATACCAAATTTAGGTATGAGTAGTAGTTGTTTTTAAAGAAAACTCTCCACTCCCTTTGTCACAAAATCTGCCTTATTTTATTTAGAATCAGGGCCAAATTATACCTGATGCCAGAGTTCCATAATCTGATCTCCAGCATATTTTTCTTTTATAAAAGGCAATTGATCCAAGAGCTTGGTTTTGAACAGCAGCTGTCACAATCCACAGTAAGCATCGTAGGCAGAGGGGATTTTAAGACCTCCCCAAAACTTGGTCAAATCTACATCAGGCCCATTTATATGATGAAGACCACCGGACCTGATAAATCCAAAAGTAAAATCTATATGTTTTCCATCTTGGGAAAATAGTACCTATTATAGGCATGACGGAAAGCACAGAGAAAGAATGTAGGTACTTTTCTTTTATTCCAGTTCAGAGTCCATGTATCTCTTGTTAAGGAAAAGATGTTAGAAATTCCAATAATGGAATGTGCATTGTGTCTAATTTGACCCACAGTGGGTCCTAGATAGGCCTAACAAAGAAACATAACATCAAATGCTTGAACACAAAAACTCCCATTACATGTCAGATATTCTCGGCTTTTGTATTTCACAAGTGTCTGTGTCAAGGACATCAAATGATCCCACTGCAATCCTAGGCTTTGTTTGGATACTGTTGCTAAATTACTAGGAGCAGTATAGTTCTGCACCAGAGGTCTGATGTCTGCCTTGCAACTGTAATGGTTTTATGAAAACAAGGGGTGCTTCAAGACAGCACCTTCCACTATCAGTCAAGGATATATTTTGTTGTTTTATTCTGCAGTTCTAAACGGTTTAAGGAGGACAAACCTCTTTAAGCACTGAGGTCAATTTTTACAACGTTTCAAAGGATTTTTGTATCAGTAAATAACTGAGGTTCGATTTTACTCTCCACTTCCCCCTTCACACAGAAAGTGCAGCCATCACATGTCTATTTTGAAACTTAGCTTGAAAGGTAGTAGTTACCCAGTGGCATGGAAGGCTTCTAAGGGCTAAACTATAAATTAACACTAAAAGTTTTTTTTCCATGTCAGGAGCAACTTGAGAAACTGGAAGTCGCTTCTGGTGTGAGAGGATTGGCTGTCTACAAGGACATTGCCCAGAGGACGGCCAGATATTTTACCAGCCTGTGCAAGGCTTCTCTCATGTTACCGCATGAGAAGCAGGAGCTGGCAGACGGGAGCTCATCCCACTCCTCGGATTCAAACCTCAGACTTTTCAGTCAGCAGTCCTGCCGGCACAAGTGTTTAACCCATTGCATCACCAGAGGCCCCATAACACTAAAAGAGAAGCACATAGCTATATTTGGGTTGGGGAGGGGGACTAAACAGGGGAAGATGATAATTTGGAGTGCAGTATGCATTGAAGGGATGTGAAATCTCTTTATACTATTACACTGCAAAAAATCTATCACCCATAGCATGGTAATCAATATTAGGAAAGTACACATTTAAACACAGCCCTCTTAAAAGCACACAATTAGTTGCATTATTTTTAGGATCATGGCAATTATTTTTCTGGGACCATACATCTTTATCTTGCAGTCATTTCTCCAAATACAGTATGAGTTCCATATCCACAGAGTTCCTAGTCATGGCACAAATAAACAAAAATGTGGATTATAGCAACATGAAATGTTAACAGCTACATACAGACCTATTATCACAGTTAACCATCCCTGACAATTATCAAATCAATTGCTGAATGCACATTGTGACATTCATTACGTTTAAGATACATATTTAAAAACTAGAATAAGACGACAGCATTATTGAAGAAACTACATAGATAAATACTTAAAAATGGTCAGTGTTTCAGGAACTCAACTTTTTTGTGAATTAGCAGTTATATAAAAAAGATCTTAAACTGAAATAAAGAAATGCTTTTATTTACAAATTAAATAAATGAATAAATAAAGTCAAGCAGGCTACAAGCTTATGTATCTTGCATTTTCTGATTAAAACCTGTAATAATACATTCTGTAACCTTCCAAAATAAAGGTATTTTAAACTCTTAATATATAAACAGAAGGACAAACTAAATATATTAAGCGTAATCCTATGCATACCTACTCAGGTATAAACCTCATTGAATAGTTTTTAGTCATAGGTAAGTATAGGACTGCCTTTTTAAGGGGTAGAAAAAAATACAAGAGCACAAATGTGAACATTTAATATTACCTGATGTTGATTTAATACTCATGAATCGCAATAACTTCAAAGAAGGGAGACTTAACATGCTGAAATCGATCTAAGTATTATACAGAATCGAAATTACTTTTGTGGACAAAATCCAAGTCACTCATATTATTTTTAAGTTTGAAAAGTCTGAGAGCAGAAACCTAGGAGGAGTCTTCTAAGAAACCTCTTCAGAAACCAGAGAACTTGTCACTGCTGAAGAAACAAAATATCCTAACTAAAATGAACATAAAATAGTTTGCTTTTAAAGTTATTGTTGGGAAAAAAAAACTACTGAAAGATTTTGAATGGTAACTTCCCCCCAAGCAAGATTTAAAAAAAAAACACTTAGAAGTGAGCAACCCACCAAACAAGTCTGAACAGTGGCCAGGTCACCCAGTTGTCAAATGCTTAGCTATGGGTCCTTATTGTCCTAGTAGGTTCTGCTACTTTCCTATGAAACAGAACAAGACTTCACTTTGTAACCTGGATATTTTCTGTGAGAGATAAAAACTCTAGCAGGAACATGAGCACTTCATTTGTAGTGACGTGGTGTTCCAAATTATTTTACTGGTGTTCCGAAATATCCACAGTTTCCAGTAGCTGCAATTCATCTTGGAATGTATCCTCTGCAGATACAAGGGTCTTACTCTAGCAGCTTTAACATTAGGTCACTATTTTAACTTAGTTAAGATCATTAACAACTATTTAGTTCTGTCTCAGAGATGGAACAAAAAGTAGCTAATTCATGGATAACAAATGCGTCAGGCACTTTGCAATCAAAATGAACAAATCAAAGGGGAATAACAAGCACCCAAGCCTAGCCTACAAAATTGTTGATTGTTAACCATTTCCCCATTTCCATCTAAACAAATTGCAAGTGTTTATTTAGATTTTGCATTTTTAGGCTTTCTGACACACACAAAGGCCTGGCGGGGGGGGGGGGGGGCTTATAATTACACAAAACAAAATAGAAGAATTGTTTAGTTCACACATGCACATATATCACTTGATCGCTCACCATTTAAAGACTCATAGCTAAGTGTATGTAGTACACAAACAGTGTCATACGAAACACCTTATTTGTGGTGTTTAAGTCAATACATAATATGCTTCTGTCGCCAAGTGATGAAAATGCATCTCTGAACACAACAAATGCTACTACAGTAACACATAAGATACAAGACCACCAATGAAAAGGAAAATGAATTTTCATGACAATCTATGTAATTCCATTGAACAGGTAGCAGTCGCTCTAATCTGGCAAATGTGACACTGTTTAACAAGCTATAAAGAAATATAAATACTGCGAGAAAAAGGAAAATGTGCCCTTCACAGTAATTCCTTCTTTAAACCTATATCATCTAGAAACCATGGGCATGCACATAGGTCTTAGAAAAGGAATAGTAAGAAGAAATCACACTATAGGAACATGAAATTATTTCTGGACAAAACACAGGAATTCAGTCTGTTCTCTACAATGTTCTTGCTTATTTCTATAGAAATGTGAAAATTAACACATTAGCAGCAAGTTATGACCCACGTTATTTAAAACATTAAGACAAATGGCACATTAGGTGAATATTTGATTCAAGATACCATTCAAGAATAGAGTAAAAAATAAAATAAGCTGGAGATCATGAGAGTAGAGAATGTGTAAAATCAGTGTAAACAAATAGGATTTCAGTTGCTGGTTTTTCTTACAAATATTTTCTTTTCACTTAATCATATCCAATAGTGTCACTGGATACAACTGTAAAGGGCAAACCTCTGCCATTTGGTAAAATCCCATTTTTATCCTTCTTCAAGTGTAAGATCCAATGGCTCTGCCCTTACAAGACATTATGACATCAAACTAAGCTGTTGTTTATTCTACTTGTGCCAACAGAACGACACAGCTTCTTGTACTTTTCCTGTAAGAGTAACATTAGACATATCACTCTCATTGAAAAGGAAATAATGCTTCTATAGATATCTGTCAAGAGCTGGATGACTTCAATATTTCTTTCTAATGGTTGTTTCAATGTATCAGTTTTGCAGAATTGCTCTAATACAAAATTAAAAATTGCATCTATGATTTTATTAAGGGTTTTGCCATTTTATGAGGCAATTTCTTATTTCTTAGTTTGCTTTGTAGAAGAGAGCAGGATGGCAATGAAAATAAATAACAAGTTATACATTTCTTAGATTCAGTGGTTCTTATAACAATCTACATATTCCAAACAGATTAATGCCTTCTTTCCTTCAACAATGTACACTCCACAAAAAAACCACATAGTGATATGACAATGCACTAAAACACATAAGGTCCCAATAATTATGAAAAGGGAAGGAACACTGATACAAGAAACTGCTCGTTTCTATACTGTTTATCATGCTAACATGTAGTAGAATTCAGATATAGGGAGGGAGAGCTGAAAACAACTCCAGTCATTCTTTATGTACAGCAAGAGTTAGTATGAGTAATTGGCCTTTGAAAAGAAACCTCAAAATTCTACATATTTATGTAAAATGTATATGTTTATGTAAATCCCCGAAGATCATGTGCATGCATATAAGGCAGCAGAAAATGCAGTAAAATATTATAGATTCAAAGCAAATTACTTGCAAAAATGTAAAAAAGTTGACAAAAGATGAAGCTTCAGTTATGAATATCAAACATTAAGAAAGCAGAAGAACATGCCAGGAAAGCTGCTGTATTAGCAGAACGTAAACCAAAGATCCTGACATTCACAGGCATTAAAAACACATCAGTCTAAGAAACCTGAGTGAAAATTCCTAGGAACAGTGTGCTAGAAGAGTTTGTTCCTTTGCAGGTTCATTTGTCTACTAAGTGCTTAGACCACACTGCTAAGGTCAGTGTATGCAGCGTGTTGTTGTTTCCCATTCCACATAATGCGAGTCTTCTAATGCAGTGGCCCTGTGCGCCCAGGCCACGGCGATAAGGGGTGGGCTAAATTCAAAAGAGGTAATACCTTATGTCCTTAAAAGGAGCTTTTTTATGGCAAAAGTTCCCATTGTTTTTTCAATGTACCCAAAGGTGCTCTAGTATAGATATGTAGATATCGATATAAAGTCTTCTAGTCAGATTTGCCATTCTTAAGAGCTTTGGCTCTTTGTCCAATAAGACGGAGAACTTTGCAACAACCCTTTGTAATTTTGACCATCCACATTAAGTTCATGGCATCCAAGACAATGCAGGAAGAAAACCAGGCGCACTGAGCCGCGAATCCCAATCGGTAGAAAGCTTCTGTTCCCAACTCAGCGTAAACATTGGCGTAATAAATTGGCATGATTATTATTCTCGCCAGGAAGAACGCAATTGTCATTAGTACTCCATTGATGATGTTGAATTTTGAATCCTTGGGGTAGCACAGAACTTCAAGAAACCATCTACAAAACAGAAAAGATTAAAAGAAATCAAATCAAGATATATATTTTTTTAAAGGCTGACCCAACAAACATAGTTTGAGATTTGGAAAAAAGAATCACCTCAACAGGAACTTCATTTTGAATCTTCATTTTATTATAGAATTGTTTTTAGTACTTTTAGGCAGCTAAAAAGCTTCAAATAAGTTTTTTAAAGAACTCATTCAGATTTGGTAATATGGATTGTGATCACATACACAGAGAATGGGCAGTGTCATTTCTTACAACATTTTGTAAACTACTCTGGCAACTGTATAAGTGTGGCTTTTTAATATTATCTTCATCTAACCAGCAAATTCAAATTAAGGGAATCACAATAATGAGGAAGTGTCTATGAATGGCCCATCTTGGGAAGAAATGAAGGAAAGGAGTATATTCCTACTTTACCAGACTGGAGCGCAATACAGTAATGGGGGTGAGCAAGGGCAAAAATAAGACCAGCCCTCATAACGTAAGAATCTGTGCTACAGTATTTGTTTTCCCTGATGATGTGTGGGAAGATGAGAACAGCTTTTGGCACTGATATGGCATTCCCCATGTTATGCTATACTCTCACATACTTTCTCCTTTTTGCTTAACTAGAACTGCATGGGATGAAGTCATAGAAGGACCTGCAGCAACCAAGCTATCCACACTATACTTCACATTAGCCTAGAGGTACAGCAAAGCACTAGCAAAGAAGGACTACGTGGGCTTTAATTCAAATTTGTTCACACAAAGTCTCATTTACACATAAACAAGGTTCCGTAGGAAAGTGGAAGTAGCTTACAGTAATAGTCACTTACTCTTCATATAAGCATGCCATCTGTTTAAACATTCATTGTAAGTACCATGGTTTCTATGAAACAATCCTCTCATTAAAATTACCCAAGATTCAGGAAGGAAGGAAGGAAGGAAGGAAGGAAGGAAGGAAGGAAGGAAGGAAGGAAGGAAGGAAGGAAGGAAGGAAGGAAGGAAGGAAGGAAGGAAGGAAGGAAGGAAGCTTAGATTTGGTTTAGGTTGACATGTCATACTTTTTATAATTACAGTTGCCGATTTGAGAAAGATGCTTGGGTTGTTTACAGAGGTCACTGAGTTCAGAAGTTAAAAATACAACTAAACAAGATGGATTGGGTGTTTTCTTTTTGTTAATGATATAAACAGACACATAAACGTATGCCAGCATTATCAACAATTTACATTACTGGTAATCTGGTTCTTCTCAAATTTAATGAATGTACACATTCAAGCTGATAGGAAAACAGATCCATCAGTCTAATAACGTGGCCATTCTCTGCACACATTTTGTCAAGTAAAGAAACCACTTATTTTTATAACCCTTTGCTTCAAATGAGGAACTTGTCCTTTTTCACTGAGAAGGTTTCTTATCTCCATTCCTGGAACGAGATGTGACATGGTGAAAAGCAATTTGCATTCAGTAGAACTTGCATAAGATCAGAGCCAAACTTTTCTTTCAAGATCTTTCTGCACATGGGGATGTGGATTTGTTGACTATTCATTTATGTAGGTGCCATCCTAGGGGTTCTTTTATCATGATAAAATGATAAAATACAGCTCTTACTTCAAAGAAGCCATTGTCAACAGGATGTCATCTTTCTGTGCTGAACTGTTTCATTAATTTATGTCTTGGCTATAATACAACCTACAGTTCATAGCATGAGAGCCTCTGCCCTGTGGTTTCGTCTCACACAGCGCCAAAGAACATCACTACCACCTCCAGAGAAGAGCCAGCTGCACAGCTGTTTTCCTCACAAGTGCTGCCCAACCTCAAGACAATGTCATAGCCAAAGTTCATCCTGTCTAACTTAGAGATTTCAGATATTTCCTTTCACTCATATAATATGAAAATGGCGTACAACATTTCTAGCATTGGAATCGCTGCCACATGAAAAGCACTTCAACTGTTCCCTCATGGTAATCGCTCCAATATCACAAATATAATATAATAGCAGGCTTCATTGTCATAAGAAACAATTGAATGATATATACTATTATTACTCCATTGCACAACAGAGAGAGCAAGGAAACACAAATAGTAAAACCTGAACAGAGCATCATGACAAAGCTCATTTGCCCTTCACCCAAAGGCAATAAAAGCTAGCTGTATCTTTTGGTGCCTACACCACAGACTGTAAGAAGATGACAACATCAGGGAATACTAAAACAACTGGTTTCTTAAGTCTTAAAAAGAAATGCAAGAGATGCTGCATCTAAAAATATCTGCAGTTAAAAGAGACTGCAGACATGAATTATTCACGATAATTAAAAGAATGATGATGAGTTAGCACCTTCAAATTCTAAGTGGACAGAGCAAAGCTTGATGCAAAAAATTGTCTATTTAAATACAGAAATAGTATCTATAGTTACTATCTATAATCAATAAATGCTGAACAAGGTGCATATGGTCATACATAGTATGGCTCTACACATACTTTTCATTTTATAAAACATACAGAAACAACTAAAGTTTTGCAACCCAACTTTTTAAGAAAGTTTGTTGGCCTTACTAATAACAGGAAAAACAGACATGTGCAGCAGGATACTGTTTTGTCTTAAGCTTTTGCCGAAAACCTTTGATGTATTTGAGATGGTACTGTAGTGACAGAGTTTAGAACAGAACGCCACTGGACGAGGAGTTTGGGGTTGGGATACACACGGCAAAAGATTAAAATAATAGTAGGTGAAAATGAAAGTGTATATCACAGAATCTCCATCAAGGGTAGAAGCCTGGTCTCTGTAGAGGTGCAGGATTTTGCCACAGGCAGTGACATCAGATAAGTGAAGCTATATCAGCTCTCTCAGATTTCACTGGATCCAAACACAGTTATAATAAGAGCAGATCCCCTGAGATCAATTACAATTAGGTCAGTTATGACTAATTTAAGTCCTGTTAATTATAACAGGTCAAGTATGATTCAAGTATCAAACCATTCTCCTGAATCCTGTTTTGGGAGAAAGGTTGAATCTATATAAAATAAATAAATCAACTTATTGTGACCAGCATGCCATAACCATATTTTTTTTAAAGTATTTTAACTAGTGTTAAAATGTTTTCCCATACTTTTAGAATGAATGTCACACTGCAATATCGAAATATGCTACAATATTATTCATTTTTAAGTCATAGCTTTAACGTATAATGCTATAAATCTACAATAGAAAATAGTTATTTTTTATTGTTATAGCACCATAATGATAAATTTAAAAAATATAAAACCTTTCTAGTTACTGATATTTTATTAATGTAGACAGTGGCAGTGCCCCCCAAAAAACTTTAAACATTATTCGTCCCACAACATCATGATGTTCTTCCACTGTATCATTTTTTCATTGAAAACAATCTCAAGAACTTGAAAATGTATAGACATATAACACTGTCACAAATATTGTTGTCCATGGGTATTGAGCTCCCCTTTTTCATGTACAATACATAGGTCACTCTGACAGATATAGAGAGGACATAGTGAAATGGGCACATTCAAAAAGTACAACATTCCCATTAGAGAAGTCATTTGCAATTCTTCTTGCAGTTTACAACAACAAAAAAAGCACTGATTGGGTATGCAAAGAGTCACTTTGCTGGGCCCAGTCAACAACACTGGGCTATACCCTTGCAGGGCAAAAAGCGATATCTAGCCATTTATGAATATATGAAAATGCCACTTACCGCTGATTCACAAAAGGGGTAGAAAATTCTGCAAGCAGACGAAAATTGGCAAAATATGCCAACAATCCCCAACGCTAGATGATGAAATAAACATTGACAAGTATCAGAAAGTTTGATTTCAAATCTCAGGAAAGCAATAAAAAATGAAACAATTACAAAAATATACCATATACTCATGTCTGTGAATTTTAGTCAAAAAATGAATACCTGGCCAGGGGAATGGTGTTGGTAGCCAGGAGTGTTTGCCCCCAAGTCAGCATTGGTGCTTTCCCATATGTGTGGAAAGATGTTTACTTATCCACGGGTCATATCAAAATCTATAATTTGGGGGTTGTAAAACCTGTCCACCATTTATACATGAGTATCCATTAATACATAAGGTACTTCAATATGATACATGATGAAATATGATATGTAACTTGAAACATGCAATTGAATATCTTTATCAAGTGAAGAACTAAGTATACAAAGTATATAGAACATTGTTCAGAAACATCTGTAAACCCTTCTCTCAAATCTCTCCCATCACCTCACTTCTGTGTCTCAGATACATCTATTTAAGACATATTCCACTCAGACCCTTGTTGTATATGTCTTTGAAGACATACTGCTACAGTACACTCTATGTGCTGTTACCCACAACAGTTGTTGATAAGCTGCAATTACTTCAAATTATCTTAACTGTTTAAATCCCATTGGTTGCTATTGTGAGGGTGCTTAACTTCAACATTTTAGATTATGAACTGTGAAATAAAGGATAGTTTTTACTATGTGTAATGCTCCGTTTTTTAAGATTTGGTACAAAGGGGTTTTGATGAGTTTATCCATTACTAGTAGAATGGCCATTACAAACAAGCTTTTTTAGTTGTTGACTCAAAGTTATAGGATGAGTTGTCTACTGTCATTTAATATATGTAAAATCTTGGCCCTTTAAACTGAGCTATGATGGGGGAGGTGCTATCATAAGCTACAACTGTATAGCATAAATGATTACTGGATTTAGGGATATAGTTTACGTGATTCAACCCATTAATATTGGTAACAGGCAGAATGAGAATGATACAGTCAAGCTCACATCAGAAACTTTAGTCGGATGGGAGACTTTCTTAACCCAGAAAATAAAAATGAGATTGTAATTGGTGTTATGGGGCATGCAATGATAGCATTGCAGAAACTCTGCTGGATATCGGTTGCATGCATAAACATGCTTATTTAGTTAGTTAGTTATGATTTTGTATGTTGCTCTTTCATCTTCTAAGGGTATACCAATGTTGTGATAAATTAATATTTAGGCAAAGACATCTTTTGTATCAATCAGTGATTAAGAAAACAATATACAGGCAGTCCACAAGTTACAGACATCTGACTTACAAATGTCTCATAGTTAAGAACAAGAGTGAGACAACAAGAAGTGAGCAAAATCTAACCCTAGGAAGGGAAATTTACTCCTGGAAGTTATCATGGTGGAAAGGGGTCTCCACTGAAGCTTTCTCACCAATTCTTGTTTCTACGACAAGCCAAAATTTTCAAAATCCAATTATCACTGGGACAGAAAGTGAGGTAAAATCTTCTGAACAGGGGCATAAAGCAAAAGAAACGTTACAGGGGTGTTAACCCTTCCCTATGCTATCCAAAAGTAAACAAACATTTTTTTATTGGAGTTGCACTTAAAGTTGTACCTTTTCCGACTTACATACAAATTCAACTTAAGAACAAACCTCTAGAACCTATCTTGTCTGTAACATGTAAACATTATTCACCCATCCCAAATTCTCTTCTTGGGTAAGGGAAGTGCCATTCAACTTGTATAAACAAAGCCTGCTATCTAAATCCACTTCTGCCAACCATGACCCCTTCCACACAGCAGTATAAAATCCACATTGAACTGGATTATACGGCAGTGTGGACTCAGATAATCCAGTTCAAAGCAGATATTGTGGATTATATGGCGTGTGGAAGGTCCTCATGAAATCCAGCTAGCTAGGCTGTCTGTGTTGAGAATCAGCAGAAATATAGTCGAGTGTTTTCAGTATAAAATGCTAATTTGAAAAAATGGTGCTGGAAAATTACTGCTTGACCCCAAGGTTATCTTTCTCTTACTTGTGAGTACTCACTCTGAGAAAGTTTTGGCTAATGTTTAATCTTACATTTTTCAGTGCTTTCATTTTCTCAAGACTCTTGATTGGTTTTATTCCAATATTCTGAGGCTGTGTTCTTAGTGCATTGCTGTTTAATTGTCTCTATATTTGTACTGTGTTTATTCATTAGCCATCCTCAGAGTACTAATATCCTTAAAACAATAAAACACAGACAAGGCTATGCTAGTAATTGTCTCAAGTTCCTGGATGGGAAAATATGATTAGAGATTCTTTTTCCAGTTACTGCTAGCACAATTGCAAGATTCAATAGAACACTTCTTAGGAAACAAATCCCTTAAGAACCAAGAATAGCTCTTTAATGCAATATTTCAAAGCCATTGTGAGACTGATCAGTTCTTTTAAAGATCAAAACTCTTTCAAACATGAATTAAACCAGCTCCACATGACTGCAGTGTCTATATACTGTGAAACATTCTTGATGTATTTCTACTAACTCCTTTAAATGAAGGTAATTTCATTTGAAAGTTCATATGATTATGAATTCCAAAATGTTGTATTTTTTCATGATACAACAAAGGGAACAGTGGTGAAAGCTGCAGAGATGGAATACCTTTTGCCCATCCTTTACTATCTGAAAATAACAAATGCCCCAACTTTCATCCAGGTGCCATTAAGACTCTTTGTAATGGAGACATAATGCCATGAAGTGATGAGATATGCTATTTCAGATGAAGACAAACTACATTTTATATAAACAAAATCCTTTTTAAAGCATTCAGGATAAGTTTAGCAGGAACACATAAGGGGTGCACACTGGTCTCTCTCCTTTATCTTGTTACTTTCTTCTTGCAGAGAGAAACCATGTGAAGATGAGAATATTTCCTGTGTTTGGAGATTTTTAATATAATTGGGATTCCTGAGACAACATAATCTCACAGATTACTTAGCTTCTCACTAGAGCTCTCTCACACACCATATTGTAATTTGAAACCTATATTTACAGACAGCCTCTATACACAACAAGATTTATAGAAAAAAACAGGCTTGGTAAGAGGCCAAACCTGTTTCAGAATTGGCAAGACTAGCTATCAAACAGAAGGCTGAGGACCTTAGTAAAAGGTCCTTAGGATTCTTAAGGAGACTCAAGATATGTGGGACGCACAGGTTTGATGGCTGGAATATTTCGGCTGCTACAAAGGCACCAATACTGTCTAAACTTGGATGCTAAACAAAGTCAGCCTTGGTTAATACTTGAATGAAATAATGCAATGAATGCCGTGGGCTACATTCCAGAGGAAGGCTGGCATAGCCCAAGAAAAACCCATGAAATTCTAAGGATCACTATAAGATAACAGGTGACTTGAAGGCACAAACACACTGTAAGGAAAATCTGATGAGTAGTTAGAAGGATGAGGCACAGGAGCTTCAAAATAGGACTAGTGGAAGTGAGATTCCCAAGACTGGAATTCAGAAGCAACAGTAGGGGTTGTACTGTGAGCTCCCACATCTTCAAACTAGTGTGTATTGAGACGGGTAGAAAAATATTATGAGTTCCTGCCTTATCCATTCTGCTTAGGTGGGAAGTTTGAGCCTATGAATATTCTTTTCTTAGGCATACCTATACTCTTTAAAGTCATATACACTAGACTGAACTTATACCTTAGAAAATGAACTGTGCTGTCGCCTTAAAAGTAAGCTATTATAAGTGATGTCAATTTGTATGATGCACAATTAGGGTTAAAATATAGTTAGATCACAAACCCAAGTATATTCTGATGGTAGTTTTGTAGAATAGTACTGATGGGATTTAATATGTATTCTGTTGGTTCATATACTGTGGTAATTGTTTTCAGTAGCTGTAACTATTCATGCAATATTGTTAGCAATATGAATGAGGAGTCAAGGGAGAAAAGAGAACCTAAAATAAACAGTCAGCGTAGAGCATGAAAAATCTACTGGAACATACAATGCTGCCACAGGTTATCAATTGTATTTCTGTTTAGTGGACATGTCTCAGTATACTATGAACTATACTGTGGGCATGTAAATGTTTTTCCATATTAATTTTCCCGTAAGAAAAAAGTGCAATGAAAAATGTTATAATAAACACATTGAATTGCATCTTGGAGAGAACAAGATGTTGAAACATTTGTTATATTTATATGTGCCTCTGTGCATATACCTACATAAACATAATTTTGTTTTAAAACATTTTAAAGAGAAAAAAATCTTGTCAATATTGCATGGAAGACTTATAAAAATCATCTCACTGCAATGGAATTTCGCCTGGATACAATGGAAGAAGGATAAAAATATTTTTCCACCTTAAGAAAAAAAATAGGCAAGCTACAGTATTTATTCCTTCCCTCTGCTGTTGCCATAAAGGCGGAGGGGTTTTTCAAGTCAACTGACCATTTGTCATATGGAGTATCTATTTATTCTGTTGAGTTAAATCTGTTTGCAAAGTCAGGGACATCTCAGTAATCTGTTGCAGACAGATGAGTTACAAAATTATGGCACAGAGAATTATACGAATTTATAGTCTTAGAATCAGAAGTAAAACAAACAAACAAAAAAAGAACTACAACTCTGTGGCCCAAGCTCTGTTTCCAGTTGAAGAAATGAGCTCCATTTGCCACTGGATTCTCTGCTGAGATCTTATGTAATACTTGCAAACATTTCAATAAGTTTTCTTTTATCTGTCAGCACATTGATGCTGATGGGAAGCAGTTCAGCAAGGAAGGACATATGCAGAATTGTTCTGCTTTAAAAAATTATCTACACAAATAAAAATACAGGATTTACAATGCTGGTCTTCAGTAACAATTGTCATGGCTTCCTTTCCTAGAAACTGCATTGCTTACATTGATGTTTCTTTAAGAGATATGTTTCGACCATGCCTTTATGGCTGGCCATGGTTGCTTCATACAGGTCCAGGGCAAAGTTTTGAAATGGGATCACGTTATGAGAATGAAAGCAAGATCTGATATGAGATCTCATGCTATTTCTCAAGATGAAGTCTTTCAGGAATGCAACTAGGTTTAAACATATAATTAAAATAGTTGCATCTTTTTCATTTTTTAAAAAAACTTAATTTCCCCCCCCTTTTTTTTGTTAACTAGACAACAAAAAGCAAACATTTATTGTTTGTTAAGCACAATATATATGAATAGTGCCACATACATTCATTATAAGATTCACCACCATTTAAAGGTCTAGTTGTCTATTGCTATGCGAGTGAAAAATTAACGAGAAACTCACCAGTACAAAGTAATAAGCATACAGAGCTACGATATGGTGAATTACAAAAAATATATCCCCAATTGCCTTCCAGTAGAAAATAAGAAGCAGCAGATCTACAAAAGAAAAAAGAAATGCTCAGTAAATTTCAGCAATTATATTTTTGTCTCACAGCTTTTAACAGTCTTTATGGGGGTAGTATGTGTTGAGAGGTGAAATTAAAAACTGACAAAGTAATACTTCTCTAAATTTACTTAGGCCATCCCTTGTAGCCTAAGGATGATAGTCCTCCAAGTGCAAAGTGGAAGGCAGTCCTGGTCAGGGTTTATTTTATTTATTTATTTATTTATTTATTTAGAACAAACAACATCCATAATAAATAAGTTATAAAATACATATAAAAGACAGTTTGCTGAGTTAAAAACATCATCCAACTCAATCCAAACATTGTGATCCAATAACTCTTAGTCTTTGCTGGTTCAATCCATCAATCTGCGAATGCCTGATTCCAAAGCCAGGATTTCAGTTTCTTCCTGAAGATCAGGAGGGAGGGGAAAGACCTAACCTCATTGGAGAGAGAGTTCCATAGCCGGGGAGCCACCACAGAGAAGGCCCTGTCTCTTGTCCCCAACAAACGCGACTGTGAAGGTGGTGGGACCAAGAGCAGGGCCTCTCACATTATAGGGGAAGATATGTTTGGACAGGTAAACTGGGCCGGAACCGTGTAGGGCTTTATAGGTTAAAACCAGCACTTTGAATTGTGCTCGGAAGCTAATTGGCAGTCAGTGGAGCTGGTGTAATAGAGGAGTTGTGCGCTCACTGTACCCAGCTCCCATGAGCAACCTGGTTGCCGAGCGTTGGACTAGTTGGAGCTTCTGGGCAGTCTTCAGTGGTAACCCCAAGTAGAGTGTGTTGCAGTAATCTATTCAGGATGTAACCAGAGCATGGGCCACTGTGGCCAAGTCAGACTTCCCAACGTACAGACACAGCTGGTGCACAAGTTTTAACTGTGCAAAAGCTCCCCTGGCCACTGCCAAAACCTGGGGTTCCAGGCTCAGCGATGAGTCCAGGATCACTCCCAAGCTGTGAACCTGTGCCCTCAGGGCAAGTGGGAGCTGGGTACAGTGAGCGCACCAAGGCCTTCAGGGGGAGTGTAACCTCTATGCCCTGTTCGGCCTTGCGACTGACCAGGAGACCTGTCTTGTTTGGATTAGTCTCAATTTGTTCGCTCTCATCCAGTTCATTACAGCTGCCAAGCACCGGTTCAGGACTTAAACAGCCTCCTTAGTAGCAGGTGGGAAGGAGTGACAGAGTTGAAAATCATCTGCGTACACATGACACCACACCCCGAAACTCCAGATGATCTCCCCCAACGGCTTCATGTAGATGTTAAACAACATAGGGGACAGTACTGAACTCCGAGGGACTCCACAAGACAATGGCCATGGGGCTGAGCAGGTGTCCCCAAACAACACCTTTTGGGAGCAACCCTCCAGAAAGGACTGGAGCCACTGCAAAACAGTAACTCCAAGGCCCATTCCTGCGAGGCGTCCCAGAAGGATACCATGGTCGACGGTATCAAAGGTTGATGAGAGGTCCAGCAAAACCAACAGGAACACACTCCTCCTGTCTAGTTCCTGGCGTAGATCACCCACTAAGGCGATCAAGGCAGTCTCAGTACCATGTCCAAGCCTAAAGCCAGATTGCGCCGGATCTAGATAATCCGTGTCTTCCAAGAGTTGCGAGGCCACCACACGTTCCAGGACTTTGCCCAAATAGGGGAGACTGGAAGCTGGCCATTAGCTGACGAATTGAGTGGGGTCCAGTGATTAGTTCTTTCAACAGCAGTTTTATAACAGCTTGTTTTAAGCTGGCTGGAATGTTGCCTTCCCGAAGGGAGGCATTAACCACCACGTTCAGCCGCTCTGCCAAACTCCCTCTGGTTTCCTTTACTAACCAGAATGGGCAGGGGTCTAGGATGCATGTGATTGCTCCAAGAATCTTGTCCACATCCTCGAGCTGCACCAATTGAAATGAATCCATCAAAACCAGACAAGAAGGTGCTCACGTTATATCCTCAGAGACTGCCGTTAACATGGTGTAAAAGCCAGTGCAGATCGAAGTGGCTTTGTCCGCAAAAAACTGAGCAAATGCTTCACAGTGGGCTGCCGAGTCATCAGGGACCCGTCCTGAGAGGCGGGATTCAACCCTCTGACTACTCAGAACAGCTCTGCCAGACGGTTCCTTGTGGACGCAATATTGGCCGCAAAGAAAGAGTCCTTTTGCAGCTTCTATTGCCACAGCGTACGTCCTTAGATAAAGACATAGTCGGGCTCGGTTTGACTCACTAGGTTTTTTTCTGCCACATGCACTATAGTCTCCTCTTTGTTCGCTTCATTGCTGCCAACTCTTCATTGAACTGAGGAGATGGTTTAGCTCAACTACTCAAGAGGGAATGCTCCGGAGCAATCGTGTCTATTGCCCTAGTCAGCTCCCTATTCTAGAGAGAGACCAGAGCAGGATCACCTACCAAGGTGGCGGAAAATTCCCCAAGAGCCAGCAGGAGTCCATCCGGATCCGTAAGTCTCCTGGGGCGGACCATCTTAATGGGTCCTCCATCCTTGCAGAGGTTAGGGGGCGCAGTAAATTTAAACCTGATCAGGTGATGGTCAGTCCATAGCAACAAAGCCATGGACAGCTCCTCCACACCGCCACCTTCCTCCCATCCCTGGCTTGACACGCCTTCCTCTTGGCACGTTTCTCTCTTTTGCCCTCTGCTCATGCCTCTTTGAATTCTGCAGCACTGCTGGACACAGATAACCTCCAGTGAAATCGCTCAAGGGCCAGGGCTTCCCAGTTCTCAGTGTCTATGCCACAGTTTTAAGGTTGGCTTTAAACCCATCTTTAAACCCAGAATAATGATCCCATAGCACTTTGTCCTCCAAAGCACTTTATATATTTAGGTCTGCTCGTATATTCCCACAAACTGCCCTATCACTTAGAGTTAGTATATATAGAGTTAGTAAATCCAGGTATAAAATAAAGCACACACATTATAAATTTGAAATAACAAATGTACTTTAAAACAAAATAGATCACTTGCTAGTTCTACCAGAGTTACTTTTAATGCAATCAGTTCAGAAAACCAAAGTCTGAAACATCTCCTTGCAGTGTCTTCTCCACAGAGAGGGCACACCGAACTGTTGACAAGGAAAGTAGCAGAAGACTGGTAAGGAGAACCTACTAGTGTCATATTATTGTCATATTATTACAACTACAACATCTCAGTTACCCTCACCAGCCCAATATGGGGCTGAGAAAAACAGCTACGTGGCTTGCATTTTGGCACACTTGTCATAAAATAGTGTTCCTTCCATATAATATGAAGCTCAATTTAATGTTATCATCAGAATTTACATAAGCAAGTCAGTAATTAAAGCTAAGTGATATGTTGTCATTAGATAAATACAATATCTGTAGCAACAACCTCTGCTCATAAAATACTTTTGAAACTATTTTTGATTTGTTAGGATATAAGAGATATGCATTCATATATGCTGATATATCTCTTTAAGAATGTGAGTGAGGAGAGGTTCAGTTCACTTAAGAATTGAAACTCAATAGACATAAAGATGATTGCCATCTGGTTTGGTCAGGTTCACTTTTCCAGTGAACCCGAAAGAGTTATACAATTAGAAAATGAAGTACACTTTCTTGAATTAAATATCTTTATTTTCCTCCTCCTTCATTACAACCCGTTCTCATGTTACTGATATTAGATCGGGGTTGCTGCTGTGAAAAAACAGAAAGGGAGATAAAATCTAATTTCAAAATTTACAAAATTGGCTTCTATACTTACAATACAGTAATGCCAGTAATTAAGTGACCTTTTTTCTCCTCAATCGCCATCACATATAAGTTGACGGCAATTAAACTATAAGAACAACATTTCTTCTTTCTAGAGCTTTAGGCTCGATCTACACTGCCCCATATGTCAGAATCTGATCCCAGATTATCTGCTTTGGACTGAATTATATGAGTCTATACTGCCATATAATCCAGTTCAAATAATCTAGATTTTATTTGGAAGTGTAGATGGGGCATTACTCTTCTAAAGGCTAATATTTTCTTTGTAATCACATGCTGTGTAACGCGTTAGATCTGTACATGTGAGTTACAGTAAGTTTTACACATTGTCCCATACATTACCTGAAATGAGGTAGCCTGAAGTAATAGAAAGGTTTATTTGCACTATAGAAGCATCACCCCTATAAAAAAAGATAAACAGAAAATGTAACATTGACTTAATACAATGTATTTGTGTACATTAGATACTACACATTTGAAGATTTGCCCCTTGTCCCACCTGTACTCTTTGGGGGTGGGAACTGCAAGGGGCAAACCATTTTCCAGATCCCTCCCTGCTCCAGCAGTCAATGCCAACTACCGGGCATAGTGACAGCTTCCCATGATGTTCGGTTTCAATAGCAGCTGCAGTACACTTTTCCAAGAATAGCTATTAGTCTGTTTTAGCATGAAATAGAAAGGAAGGAATACTCTTGTTAAGACAGACTCACTTCAACGGAATTATTCTACACAATATCTGTAAACTGATGCCAGGCTGGTAGCGGTTAATGATTGCTGAGATGTTAAAGCAATACATTCTTATCAGAAACAATCCCTTTAAAGATTTATGACCAGTTTCTTTGTTATCCTCTTCTGTGTCTCTCACTGTGATCCCACAACACTTAGAACTATACAACTATGTATTGTGCTGCCTTCAAGAAGTCACAACACAGGGCTGCAATATCTCTCTCTTGAGTCATATTACAATTTCCATGCCTCTTTCAGGTTTTGCTCATATTGGTTTATTGATTAAAAATGTATACCCTCACTTTAAAATGCCTATGGCCCTCTGATTGTGACTTACACCTTGGTTCTTGCTCTGTCAAACTTTCTTTTTAGCAACGGACTACAAGACTGCTTAAAGACTGCTTTTATTATGGCATAAACCAGGAATGAGAATCATACAACCCTCCAGATTGAAGTCAGAATTTGAATCCTAAAGACCATGGTTACTGGTTGTATAGATGGTGGATACCGATTCTGCGAGTCACCACCTGGCCAGCCTAGCTAACCCAATGTTCTCAGAACATTAGACTCGCCAATAGAAGGCAAAAGAGAGAACCTTAATTCAATTTACAGAAGGGATGCATGTACAGCAACGGGTGCCCAAAAAGTACAAGCATAAGGATTATGGGACATACAACTATTCTTATACAGTTCAAATCTCATGCATTAACATTGTCTGAGCTCAAGTTTTCCCAATCCCAGCCTCTGATTGGCTGAGAGGCTAGCCACTCTGCCGTTCCTGTGATTGGTCCAGAGGCAGCCTGGAGCAAGGACTTATGGCTCGGTTGGGGTTCCCCTCCCAGCTGGGCTGGGCAGTCCTGAGGCTGCCAGGGTGGAGAGGGGCCACCGGCAGGCTTCTGCTCATACTAGGGACCCAGACAGCACAGATGATGGGATTAAGTCCAGTTTTCCTGTGAACAATGAATGTTGATCTTTGTTGTCCACTTTCAGACTGGACAGACAATGAGAAGGTCCTGAGATGTCTATTGGGGACCATCAGACAAACAGAGTTCTCTTTGCACCATGTTATGGCCTGGATCTCTAGAGGGGAGATCCAGATAAAATCTAAATCGTTCAGGAAGATCTATTGTAAAGTGATAATTGCTTTTGAGTCACTGCCCTGACTGGGAAGAGGTGAAGAAACAGTTCATGTCATTTGCCCTATATTACATTCAAGGACAGAGTCCAATAAAATATCGTATATATGTATAAAATTTCTGGAATTGTAGCACATTGATTATGCAGTTCATATGCTTTATTCTTTTAAAGCCCATATTATGCGCTCATGCATATCAGGGAATCAACACAAACACAGATAAGCTCAAATAGATAGAGCAAGGTATAGCCAAGGATAGAGAAAGACAAGAAATTCATTAAAAGGCATACTTTGGAGGCAAAAAGATACAATTTATTCAGGGAACTGAATACTTAGTTGCAAAGGTGTGGGAAAAGGTAAATGGACTGCTTTTGAGAGGTTTGAGATGTGTGCTGGTTTGAATCTGCTCGCATCTGAAAATTCAAACCAAAAAAGGAGTTATAGTTTTTGGGGAGCAGTCTTTGGGAAGGATTTGGGTTGCTGTTGGTCCATTGTAGGTTAAATAGACCTTCACCTAGGGGAGGGACATTTGTCATATTCTATTCTGGTGGTCCGTCCTTTGAAAACTATGAATCCGGAAAGCAGGGGGAGGGGGGGGTACTGTGTTTGACAACGAAATGTTGCTAGGTTTTCAGTTCCCAACATAGCCCAACACTGACTATACTGGTTAGCACTGCTGGAATTTACAGTCCAACATCATCTGCTGAGGCTGTATGATTTCCATGTCAGCACAAACTCTTTGGGGACCAAAGTTACTCTTTAAAGCACAAACATACTCTTGATTTTTTTCTGGTTATAGCTTTAACAAGGCTATGTGAGACTGTTGCAAATTTTATTCTTGAGATTAGTAACTTTTAAGTACGTCTTCCTTTTTATCTGTTACTTCCCCTTCTTGTATATGCCTGTGCTGTGATTTTGCTGTTGTATGCCAATAAAGGTTGTGTGTGAGAGTTTAACAAGAAGATTAGACAAAAAGAAATGACATCAAGGTGCTTCAAAGTCAACTAATGTGAACCTGGTTAAACTAAAATGAGATATCTTTCTCTTTATCTTAAAGTATCAGTTTCTGGGGAGCGAGGGTTAATGAGCATAATGGGGGAGGGGGTCCTTCTGGGTTGCAACACTTGTTTTGCTCTGCAGAAGTCTTATGTTTTCTTTTGTGCCACTTAGGTGAAGTTTTTAAGCAGTAGGATAGAAAATACATATAAAATATATATCAGGATTCTGCAGGGGTTTTTTTTATAGTTTTGTAAATTATAATGATTCTCTTCAAAACTATAAGGAGTAACTCTGAATATTCATGAGCTCAGCTATAAGATACTTGATTTCGGCCCCATCTACAGTCATAAAAAGAAGACTGGAAAACATATTTGCCTGAGACATTCAAACAACTTTTCAGGCCAATCCAGTTTAACCTGGTTTAACCTGTAAATACAGGTTTACTCCAAGTTTTAAAAAATATCTGGGAAGGTGCAGACCTTCCAAGAAAGTCTGCACCTTCTCAGGTATGGGAGATGTGGGGACTGATTCTTGGGATCGCCAACCGCAATCTTGAGGGTTAATTCCCACAGCCACCCTGCCAATTCAGTCTTTGGCAGCTGGGGGGGGGGGAGTAATGACAGTAGTGCCCTCCCCTCCCCATGCCTCGTTTTACTCTAAAATTCACCTTAGAGGCCTGCAAACAGAGGCAGGCCTCTGTTTGAAATATTTCCACCACTCCTTTCCAAAGCTCCTTTTGCATCATTTTGACATGACAGGAGCTTTCTAGCAGAGGCCTGCCTCTATTTGCAGATCTCTAAGGTAGGTTTTAGAGTAAAATTCTGTGGGGTGGTGGTGGTGGGGGGGATCAGTGCCAATTCCCCACCCCCGGCCTCAGAGGGGTTTTGGGCCACCGTTTAGCATTTTCTTTCAGGTTTTAGGCATGGATAGAAGCAGCCTTAGAGTCTTAAGAAGAAGAAAAAATAGCCACTATTTCAAACTCTGCATCACTCAGAAGCTGACTTACAGCAATTACTGTATTATTCACTTGTAAGATGCCATCGATTGTAAGACACATCCTAATTTCAGTACCACAACCACCAATGAAAATATGTAAGATACAACTGCAATTCTAAGATGCATGCTATTTTTTACAAATGTTTATATAGGAAAAGTTTTGAAGAAATGCTGTATTTTGTACTTGCACTTGCTCTGAGACTACAACCAACCATTGTGCTTTAATTTAGTCAATTTCATACTGCTTCATAGCCCTTCTGAAGAAAAGCAAAGGAACTACCAAGAAAGTTAAAAAGCTCCACTACATGGGTTTCAGTGTTGCCAATTTTACTGTCATTTCCTCTCATGTGTAGAGACTGTCTAATTTGTCCAAAGTACATGCATGTAGACTTGCAGATCTTAAAGTATCTGTCCTAGAAGTGAGCTTCAGAAACAGGACACAGAAGACTACTAAAATGCCATATAACCGCAGGCTCATAACCACTTTTTCTTAGGTTTGGTCCAACTGGAGAATCTATACCCCATACTACACATATACATTTTCTTCTCTTTCTTCCTTTTAACCTGTTTCTTGTGTGATAATGGCAAAGAAAGTAAGTTTTGATCAGTAACTCAATCACAGACCAACCTGATAAGAGGATCTCCTTAAAAATGGAATAAGGAAAGTTTTCATGATGACTCACAGGAAGAAGTTTTGGACTGTGAAACAAGAATGTAGACTTTACGAATAAGTCCAAAATAACGTTCAGTTTCACAGTTGTCAATATCTAAACTTAAACCTGGGGGTCAATTCACTGACATGTCACTCTGCATTGAAACCCTGGGTCTAAGAGTGTGATTATCTTACAAAAACAGATATACTCTAAGGGTAACTGTTGTTCCTTTAACTTTCCCCTTTTTTCTTATCTTCATATATGTCACTCTTTTCCATTTTGCAATTAACAGTATTTAGCTCTAGGACAGAGAGAGAAAAAACAGTCTTTCCTCATAAGCATTTTCCAAAAAACGGATTTGTAGCTTAGATTCCTAATGAGAAAACAGCTTGCCTAGAATTTCCTGGAGTAAAGGTGGAAAATAAATGTAACAAGTAAATGATGATGCATTATTATGATAATGTCTTTGGTGGTAAATTAAAGGCGAACCATGGTGGAGTCTTCATTATGGCAAGAAGATGGAATTAGGACATAGCACATTTCTATGTACCATATTTCAGAAGGAAAGTAAAAGGGGGAATTTGAGTTAATGACAATACTACAAGGAAAACTACATAAAATGCATACATTACACTAATATAAAGTTTATTAGAAAACAAGAGACAAGCCAGCATCTTACTTTAATCCTAGTAAATATAGCCAATATTATTATTTCTTAAAGATAGCCCATGTTCATTTTAATCTTTTAATAAAATATAGTTTTGAGTCAAAGGTATCCCAAGATATCCTTAAAAAGAAAAGCACCTGGGAGACACCTCTGTCATTATGTCAGTATTCTACCATTGAGTACTTTAAAATATATATACAGTTGCAATGAGATCATCAAAGTGAAGAATCTCACACTGTAAAATACCTAACACCTACAAGAATAGTGTGTAAGTGCTTGTTGACCCCAAATTTTAAAGATAAAATCAAATATTGTATCGTGACAATATTATATAGTTCAGGTGATCAGACAAGGAGGCGGCGATTCCTCCTCTCCAGATTTGAGTTTTCTCAGAATGCATCTGAGAAATTTGACACCACTTTAGCTGCCATTGTTCAATGCTACTGAATCTTAGGATTTGCAGTTTATTGAGGCACCAGCTTTCTTTAGCAGACTAAAGACTTCATAAAATGAAAACTCCCATGATTCTATAGCATTGACCCATGGTAGCTAAAGTGGTGTCAAACTGTATTAATTCTAGAGTGCAGATGCATCCTCAATCATTCTAGAATGATATAACTGACCTCCAAAATTTTGAACACACCTAATTTTTTCCACTATATTTTAGATGGCGGAGATGCAATCTTAAAAACCACAGAGGAATTCAGATTTTATCATGGCTGAAAAACAGCTGGCGAACATGGGAGTTGTGGACAAGCTTAAGTTTAATTATTTTCCCCAGCACTATGTTTGACTTCGGTTGTGGGGTTAAAAAGCAATCCAGTGTTACATCTGAATGGCATTTGATCACAGGTACATTAAAATCAAGATAGCAAGTTAACGTGAAGTTTTAGATAAATATTATTTGCAAAGAAAAGTGATAATGCTTGAAGTTTCATTCTTAATTACCCTCAAATATTAGACACATTCCACACCCACCCTGCCCTGCCCACTAAGTATACTATAATACAACAGATGAATGTAGGTAATACATGACAGATGAATGTAGATAAAATATGACATAAAGGTTTTACAACAGGTACAACAGATGAACTTAGGAAATACATGATATACACATTTTATTGCCTGGACCAACCACTTTCCTCCCACATCTCAAAATGACTGATTTGATGACAAGGCTGCACATGACAACAGCATGTGGGTTCATGAATAAAACTTAACTGGATGTGGCTTGAAAAGCCTTATACCACCTACTTTTTAAAAACCTGGCTGTGCTAGCAATTTTAAAATATTAATACTACAGGAAAATTATTAAATGTATACACACTACCCTGCTTCAAAAATGCATTGTTTGCAGTTATTTACAAAAATGTGGAGCTTCCCAGTGAATGTGAAGGCTTCTAATTAAGCATTTATCTTCAGCTACTGGAGTGGAATCTTACATTTATTTGCTAATCTTGCCATTAAAAACATGATTTTGGGAGGACATAGAAGCAACTATAGTTTTCCTGCAGTTGACATATTGCTGGAAAAACAATTTCTTGTGGCCTTTAAACCTTATCCTTATTCCATTACAAACCTGCTGAATCACAGCTAAGCACATTTTAAAGTTATTTGAGAACTCATAGAAAGAACACTTCCCATTTCAGCAATCAAAGACAGCTTTATCTGTCAAGTTTTCTATTATATCAGGAATTTAGCTTAGTTTTCAGCTTAAAAAATATTTTCCAAGCTTTAAAAAAGGCAGTTTCTCAACTTTAAAAAGGTTATTTGTCCGTCCCCCCAGAAATATTTCACCCCGATGAATGAACATTCTCCATGTGAAACTAAGTGTAGCCAACATGAACACAATGCCCCCCCAAAATTGAACTGCTTTGAATAGCTACTAGCCATATTTCTTTTGCATTGCCTTCAGTTAAAATACATAATAGGTTAATAGCAACATTCATTTTCTGAAACAAACCACTCTTTTGTTCAAAGCTTTTATGTCACCTTCACAGTATTTTAGGGGGAACAAGATGGCCCCAAATGTAGATTCTGAAAAGAAGACTAAAATGTAGAATTTCATATGGATCTTATATCAACTCCCTGGACCAATAACATTTTGAAAAAAAGAACACACGATAGGTTTAGAAGCTCTCAGTGCTATAAATAGATTTCTTTACACACATTTGTTTCTGTTACTATATAACAGATAATCAAATATTTTCTGATGTTGTTAGTGCTGAGGCTGCTTAATGATATTTAGAGTTGTGAATCCGTAATGTCAAAACTATTACTCTATATTACAGTTGAAACAAAGATGAAAGACTCTAAAACACTCTATAAATGTTAGGGATTTGTACAGTAAGTAGACATACATTTTAATTATGTCTGTAGAGATCATTTCACAGTAGAACAGATAACAATGTGATGGGCCAAGAGAAAAGATATGAAGGAGAGGGATTTATAAGCAAAAAGTTGTCTTACCAAACATGGTCAGCATTTACAGCTTCATCATATAATAGAATATACATGCAAAATGCTCCAACCAACAAGGCATGGCAAGAAGAAACTGTCCTAAAAAGAGAGAAAAGAAATCTTCATTAGGATTCCACTGTTCTTCAACTAAAAAAGAACTTTCCACTCTTGCAGGAGAAAAATATTGCAATCTATTCTAGAGGTGTTATAAATTATCGGATGTTTTTTGCCCACAGTTAAAATGACAGTGACATTGGCTCTACGAACCTCACCAAAAAAACTACCCCCATAATGAAAGTGGATGAAGAGAAGCTGTATGCATGCATCAGAGATCCTCTGAACCTCTATGGAACCAAAGGTTATAGTGTAAAAATCCTTCCTGAGGACAGCCATGTAAAGAACCTACACTTTTGTGTTTTACCTCATATCTGCTTGACGGTATGTTAAAATAATGCTTCTTCAGAGTTTTACTTTCTAATACCTTTCTGGCTTCAGTTAAGAAATGCTTTTAAACCATTATATTCTATAATGCTGTGCTTTTGAATAAAATGCTTTAATTTGTCATCACTCCAAGAAAAACTGAAAGATGAAGATCATGCAGTCTCTTAAAAGCAAGGATCAATATTTTTCTTTGTCTCAAATCAAATGAAATAGCTTCAAGAAAGAAATAGATGATTTCTCAACATTTTAATATCATATAATCATAGAGTTGGAAGAGACCTCATGGGTCATCCAGTCCAACCCCCTGCCAAGAAGGCAGGAATATTGCATTCAAAGCACCCCTGACAGATGGCCATGTAGCCTCTGTTTAAAAATCTCCAAAGAAGGAGCCTCCACCACACTCCGGGGCAGAGAGTTCCACTGCTGAACGGCTCTCACAGTCAGGAAGTTCTTCCTCATGTTTAGATGGAATCTCTTTTCCACTAAAATCACATTTCCACTAAAAATGATCAGGATAGCTATAAAAGAGCACTACAAACAAATTAATTAAAAAAAACAATGAAAATAATATTCCATGATCAATGGTGAATAGCTTCAGTTCACATATCTAAAAGATCTCCCCACATGAGCTTAAGATCTGGAAGGTTTTTTTCGTGGTCCTACCACCATTGCTGGTGCAATTGATGAGGACACAAAAGAGATGCTTCTAAGTGGCTGCTCCCAATCTTTGGAATTCCCTCATATTGCTCTCGTTGGCACTCTCTCTGCATTCTTTTCACCAGCAGACAGAGAAAGGTTTTCAAGTTTTAATTGGCTGTGCAATTTGCTTGTTATTTTTATTATGTTTTAGACATATTTTAATTAGATTAGAACATGAGATGCAGGGCCAATCTTAAGAAACAGGGCTACAAAGTGGAGTCCATGACATGTGAATGTGGAGCAGAGCAAACCACAGACCACTTATTACAATGTAGTCTGAGCCCATCCACATCCACAATGGAGGAACCTCTTACAGCGACACCAGAAGCACTCCAAGTGGCCAGCTTCTGGTCAAAGAAAAGTTAGTATAATGTGGTTTTTATATATTCGAACTATATTCTCAATTAGCTTCTGATATGATAAATAAAATAAATTAGATTAGTCAGGGTACAATATTTCTGTACAAGTCTTCCAGATGCGAACTACCTTCTAATGTCATTGGAACATTAGATCCTTTGGAAGTTTTGGCTTATATCTCCCATCAAACTCACCTAGCATGTCAAAGGGCAAAGAACTATGGAAGTTTTAGTTTAAAACATTTGGAAGGCCAACGTTATCCACTTTTGCTATAAAATGCTCTTCTATGAAATGAGCTACATGATGATTAGTCAATTTGTTTACAATAGACAGTACTCCCTCTTGTTTACCCTTTGCTTGTGTATTTAAGGTTTGTCAGATGAAACTTTCTGGCCAGAAGCCAATGTTATCAGGAAAAACTTCAGCTACAAAGTTTGCATCAAGCTGCTATCAAAAGCACAAGAGTAAGTCAATTAAAAAAAAAGAGAGAAGATAGCACTCTTAGTTAATTGGATATTTGTTCTACTGACAAGCCCACAAATAGAAAGGCACACACATGTGTTATATACACAATATCTTATGATAAAATCTTCTTAATGGGAAACAATGTTCAACTATTATTCAATTCCATATAAATTTACTGTAATCTGAAATGTGTTTCTGGGTGCTTACTGTAGTTATTACTGGTATTAAAATATACATCCATATTTATACATTAAGGTACCAAAAGGATTTCTGTGTGAGGAAAAACACTCTTTTCACAAAAATCCTAAAGTATACTTGGGATCACAGTTTAATTGTAGTAAAATTATCTGATTTTCTTTTTTTGTACTCCTATTTAGAAACATTTACCTTGAATTCCATTCAATTTTCTTCTTTTGGTCAAGATTGTTAAAACCAGAAGTTACACGTGAAGAAATCCAAGCACTTAGTGAGTGGAAGCCGAACTGAAATATAGCAAAACTGCTAATGATAACAGCCAGATTGAGTTTACTGAAGGTAGCCATCATTTTTCAGCCTGTTGAAAAACACAGAGTTTCTTAGTTCAGACATGGATTGAAAGTGATGTATGTACAAGGATACAGCTATGCTAATTTTAAAAGTAACAATAAACTACATTCACACCAATGTCGCAATTTGCACAGCATGCCTGTAGTTGTAAGTGCTCTAGGCCTACATTCATATTTGTACCTACCCCCGTTACAGTTTTCTTGGATTCAATATTTCGTTACCATAATTTTTTCCAAACAGTGTACAATATCACTCTAAATAAACCTGCTGTGTCATGCTGTCTTCAAATTATGCCAGTTGGATAAGAAAACGTTTTGCACAAAATTGAATACACCATGATAACTCAAGAATAGTAACTTTGATGGTGTAGTGGTTTCATTATGCTGTCATAACTTTAGGTCATTATAACTACTACACAATTGTTACTATGACAACATAAAGGAATTGAGTGGCCAGCTTTCTCAGAAGCCTATCCTCGTCTGAGTTAGGTCAAGCCTCTTGTATGCTGACATACAACAACTGTATAGACATTCATAGAAGTGAAATTAAAATCTTGAGACATCTCTTCTGGCCACAGTGGAAGCAGGTAACAGGATATGTATAGTTAGCAGATGATGCCAAGTTCAAACTTAATCACCAACATGAACAACATTCAGAGAAACAAGACACGGCCCCACTTTGTTGGCATCAGGGTATATTTGTTCTTTGTCATGTCACATACTAGTTGTCACACATACCAGGAATCACAGCAACAGATTTCACTGAACACCTGACATTTGTGACGAAGGGCACAGTAACAGAAGTTACAGACATTAGAGATATAGTTCCATTGCATCTCTGTACATTGCATGGGTGAATTCTGTGTCATGCTGCCTCTACTGAAAAACTTCCAGAGAAGGAGATTCCACCAGACTCTGAGGCAGCATATGCCACTGTCTGAAATTACTTAAATGTATACAACAACAATCTTAATTAACTTGACTATCATCAGCCAAAAGCAGGTCCACACTTCCCACTGAAAGCTGGTATGTTTACGTTGGTTAAAATTTATCTTCATTTTATATATTCTGTTGGGGTTTTTTTTTTTCATTTTTTGCACTTCAAACAAGACATATGCAGTGTGCATAAGAATGTGTTAATGTTTTTTCCCCAAACTATAGTCTGCTCCCCAACAGGCTGAGGGACCGTGAACTGGCCCTCAGCTTAAAAAGTGTGGACAACCCTGCTTCAGGTCATTTTAGCCAACTACCATATAGGTGTTATTGTTGCATGCCTTAAGTCCTTTCTGATTTATGGCAACTCCAAAATAAACCTATCATGATAATTTCTATGATTTATTGTTCAGACAGTGCGTGCCTTTGCCTTCTTATGAGGCTAACAGTGCTACTTGCTCAAAGCCACTCTGTCGGTTTCCCTGCCAGAGCAAGGATTTAAACCCTGATTTCTAGAGTCATAATCCAACACCCAAAGAACTGTACCACACTGACCCAGTACTATGTCTCAAAATTTACTTGTCTACCTTTAATAAGAATGTAGGCATAGGTCCTGTTGGACTCAACATGAGGCTCATCCCCAATTTCAAGCAACATGTAAGTGACTCCTACCACAGAGGCAAAGTTCAACAAAGAGCCAGCTGATCCTCAGTGAGAAGGCCACAATTTTGTTCTAACAGAGAATCTGAGCATTTTCATAACGTATGGTAGGAAAAGATGCATTCTTATGCAGCATGGAGCTGCAAGAGTGGGGAAATCATCTTCTTTTGCTTTCAGCTGTCACATAGTTCTCTCAGGCACAAGGTCTCCAAAAGGAAACACAGAATTCCCACCTTCTTTCTCTGTGATAAGGGCAGATCTCCCTCTATATCACAGTTCAAGAAAAGCTGTGATTCTGTCAACTACATGTGGTAATGATGGTTGAAACAGATGGCCTCTCCCACACGTGCTACTCACCCCATGTGCCTTCACCATGAGTTCACAATGAAAGCTGGCAGAACACAATCCATATGAAGGCTATATGGGAATATTTTATTCATACAACTTCATCACTGGAGCTCCAGCAAGAAGTCTTTCAGGGATTATCAAACCCTTTAAAAATTTTTTCAAGCATTACTGCCTGCGCCTGGTGAACCCAAACTAGGAAATAGATAAAGGGGAAAGAATAAAACAAGGTTTGCTGGGAAGTCAGAGGAAATGTCTCCTGTCATACTTTCATATTTGGCTCAGGAGGGATACAGGCAAATTTTGTAAAATCGTATTGCTTTTATCATGATTGATATCTTCTATGCATGAGTATACAAGCAGTAGGGAAATATGTGGGCCTCGCAGCAATGCTGGACTGCATCTCCCTGGTCACATTAGCCATCAATAAGGGATGGCAGGCGAAGCCATTCAACAACCTCTGGGAAGCCATGGTTTCAAGAATATATAAGAATGTCTCCCTCACACATACAATTCCGTTTAAAACCCTACACATTTGTGAAACTATGAGCAAAATTCTTCCTGCCAACTGCTGAGGGGTGCAAACCCTCACTTGTCAGAAATCCAACTTCATTAAACCTTAAACCAGAGGTCCTCAAACTAAGGCCCGGGGGCCAGATATGGCCCTCCAAGGTCATTTACCCAGCCCTCACTCAGGGTCAACCTAAGTCTGAAATGACTTGAAAGCACACAACAACAATCCTATCTCATCAGCCAAAAGCAGGTCTGCACTTCCCATTGAAATACTATTGGTTTATATTTCTTAAAATTGTTCATTTTAATTATTGTATTGTTTTAAAGTGTTTTTGCACTACAAATAGGATATGTGCAGTGTGCATAGGAATTCATTCATGCTTTTTCATGTTATAATCTGGCCCTCCAACAGTTTGAGGGACTGTGACCTGGCCCTCTGTTTAAAAAGTTTGAGGACTCCTGGTCCAAAATCACCACTTTTGTCTTCTGAGTCTTGTACCTTTGTCTCAAACGGAACCAGGCACACAAGTTAATCAGACTCATCAGCATATCTGTATCATTATGTCCTCATGGACTGTGCCTTACTAGAAGGCGTCTCTGCAATGGACTGGTTCTTTGAGCTGACCAACCACTGCCTGCTGGTCTTTCCATCACGGGAATCTCTTCCTGCAGGCTGTAACTTCAAGGGAATCCCTGGGAAATTCGGGCACAGATCCTAGCCTGCTCTTTTTCAGCCAATCAGGGGAGGGAGTGGGAAGTCTGAATAGCTGTCAGAACTGTATACAAGTTTATGTATTCCTCTGTGAGTTTATGCTTGTACCTTTTGAAGCAAATTGCTTTTACTTGCATCCTTTTTGGCTGGATCGTAATAAACCTTTGACTGTGTTACCTTCAACCTAGGAAGCTTGTTTCTCTGTCTTGGCGGATCTGGTTTAGTGGATGCTCCTCGGACAAGGACCTCTCTAACTGTGGTCCTAGCTGAAACCACTACAATACCATGGACCTTCCTAGATCAAACAGAAACCACTCCCCTAGTTTTGGGTAGCATTGATAAACTAACAGGCAGTGGGTTTTCTGTTAAATCAGGCATAAGCAAACTTCCCTGTGTTAGATGGACTAATACAATGCAAATTCATTTAGATTTATTTATCTTGATTTGGGAGGAACAATACCAATTAATTTTCTATCATCCCATTTTTTGTTTCCTTCAAAATGTCCACATTTTTGCTTCCTCCTCCCATGTTTCTCCCTTGACCTCAGCTTAGGATCGTTCTACACATGCCTAAAAACCTGGAAGTAACCAAGATAAAAGGAGTGGGGTGGGTAAATGATGTTTAGCAAAAGTGTGGGCACAAACGGCTGAAAAGCACATGTTTAAAAGGTCCACTTAAAAACCCCAAAATGCACACCTTCACATGACTGTATATCCCAGTAGTCATGCAAAACACATGATTTCTTCCCCCCCCCCCCGTGTGGACTGCTCTAGTGCACATGTACATTTTTAAAGCCCAAAACAACTGCTCAGACTGTCAAAAAATAGACCCACAGACATACAGGTGGCTAAAAGGAAGCAGAATTTGAAAGCAATTAGAACTATCTGCAACCACTCCTTTATGTAGACCTTTATAATATTAAACAGAGCTTGAATTAACAGTTGAGTAAAGAGAGAGATAGGAAATCTGCTTGTATTTACATAGGGATCTCCACAAGTGTGCATGAGGTCCAGCACATCTTGGAGAGAATTAAAAAGATACTTCTGCTGGATATCTCCTGTCTGCCCTCCATTTTGATCCACTTCAAAGAAAGCAGTGACAATGATGGGGGAGCATTTCCCAGGACTTACAAGTCTGAGTGTGGACCTGCTGTCAAGTCCCGAGATTTTTTGCCCATTTTGAATCACGCATTTTGGCGCTGTCTGGAAGTGCCTTTACTTCAATTGCTGCAAAATGCACTCAAAATACAAAAGTAGATGCATCCAATTAAATCAATGAGAGAAAATATAGAGGAAGGTCAGACTCTTTCCCTTTACATAAGACTCAGGCATAATCAAGCTGCAGCAGCTTCTCCTAGGCATATGTGTTCTCTTTAATATCTTTTACCAGTTTAGCCATACTGTGATATTGCTTTCTCATGTGTCCTGATATTCATCTGTGAATTGTTGAAGGGCATGCATTCATTTACTAAGACAAGATAGCACTGAACATTTCACAGAAGAAAACCAAAAGATGTGTTGCCAAATAACAATTACTGTATGGTCAAGATAACAAAAAATAGTGAGAAAGAATACACTAGTTAGGAGAGGTTGCAGCAGTTTTATTTGTTTGTTTACCCTGGGATGGGTGAGATTCTCCTTCTCACCTATTACTTGTTTCTTTCTGTACTTGTTTTTGCACTTCAGGCTTAATTTGCACCATCTGAAGCAAGCTGAGGACAAACGGGAAAGTGTGGAGAGGGGAAACAAACTTGCAAATTTTAAAAGCAGCTAAAATGGAACAACAAAATACAATCGGCTCTCCATATTTGCTGTAGTTATGAAGACAGGACCCCTCAAAAATAT